GCATCTTTATATCACCCTGATGTCAATCTTGTAGAAAATATATATCATCCTAATGTCAAGCTGGTAGAAACTATATATCACCCTGATGTCAAGCTAGTAGAAACTGTACTTTAACATGATGTCAAACTAGTAGAAACTATATATCAACCTGATGTCAAGCTAGTAGAAACTATACATCAACATGATGTCAAACTAATAGAAACTATATATCAACCTGATGTCAAGCTAGTAGAAACTATACATCAACATGATGTTAAACTAGTAGAAACTATATATCAACCTGATGTCAAGCTAGTAGAAACTATACATCAACATGATGTCAAGCTAGTAGAAACTATATATCACCCTGATGTCAAGCTAGTAGAAACTATACATCAGCATGATGTTAAAATATTAGAAACTATATATCACCCTGATGTCAAGCTAGTAGAAACTGTACATCAACATGATGTCAAGCTAGTAGAAACTATATATCAACCTGATGTCTAGCTAGTAGAAAATATTTATCACCCTGATGTCAAGCTAGTAGAAACTATAAATATCACCCTGATGTCAAGCTAGTAGAAACTATACATCAACATGATGTCAAGCTAGTAGAAATTATACATCAATATGATGTCAAGCTAGTAGACCATATATATCACCCTGTTGTCAAGCTAGTAGAAACTATATATAAATCTTATGTCAAGCTAGTAGAAACTATACATCGCCCTGATGTCAAGCTAGTAGAGGCCATGTTACCTTGATATCAAGCTAACATATACTTAATATCATCATGATACCGTATAGCGGGTTGTTTTCGCGGAGTGTAAATTTTCGCTAATTTTCGCAGATAGAACAAAATCGCCAAAATAAATTCCGCCAATTTAAAAGTGCACATGCAATGGTCTTGTATAAAAGTTTCGAATCCGCCAAAATAATAACTGCAAAAATATTCTGTATACCTTATTCAATGAAAATCGCGAAATTTTATACCCGCGAAAATAACCCGCTATACGGTATCTAGCAAATATTGTAGAAGAACAACAATGCAAGAGCTTTTCCTTTGTTTGTGCATGTACCGATTTTGTGTCATGAATGGATAACCCATATCCTTTCTTTTCTATTCTATAGAATCCTGATGTCAAGCTGGTAACACTATATATCATCTGATGTCAAGCAAGTCTTGGTTATAAATCATCTGATGTCAAGCTAGTCTTGGTTATAAATCATCTGATGTCAAGCAAGTCTTGGTTATAAATCATCTGATGTCAAGCTAGCCTTGGTTATAAATCATCTGATGTCAAGCTAGTCTTGGTTATATATTATCTGATGTCAAGCTAGTCTTGGTTATAAATCATCTGATGTCAAGCTAGTCTTGGTTATATATCATCTGATGTCAAGCTAGTCTTGGTTATAAATCATCTGATGTCAAGCTAGTCTTGGTTATAAATCATCTGATGTCAAGCTAGTCTTGGTTATATATCATCTTATCTCAAGCTAGTTTCGGTTATATATCATCTGATGTCAGGCTAGTCTTGGTTATATATCATCTGATTTCAAGCTAGTCTTGGTTATAAATCATCTGATGTCAAGTTAGTCTTGTTATAAATTATCTGATGTCAAGCTAGTCTTGGTTATAAATCATCTGATGTCAAGCTAGTTTCGGTTATATATCATCTGATGTCAAGATAGTCTTGGTTATATATCATCTGATGTCAAGCTAGTCTTGGTTATATATCATCTTATTTCAAGCTAGTTTCGGTTATATATCATCTGATGTCAAGCTAGTCTTGGTTATAAATCATCTGATGTCAAGCTAGTCTTGGTTATAAATCATCTAATGTCAAGCTAGTCTTGGTTATATATCTTCTGATGTCAAGCTAGTCTGAACAGGTCATATCTCACCCTGCTGTGAAGCTAGTCTTTGTTATATATCATCTGATGTCAAGCTAGATTGGGTTATATATCAACTGATGTCAAACTAGTCTAGGTTATATATCATCTGATGTCAAGCTAGTATGGACCAGATACATCTTACCCTGCTGTCAAGAATGCTCATGCTGTGTTTGTCCAGCTAGTATAGGCCACATCTTACCATGTCAGTAATCACCCCAACATCTAAATACCTGCGACTATTAAACATTTTGATCTGTAGGTCTCTATGAAGTTTTAATACCCTGAGCCCTGGCTGTATTTAAGTATTGTCACCTGGAATTCTAGCTGTTATAATAAAAAAGAGGCAAAATATACCAAGGGGACAAAACTGACAATGTCATGACAAAATAATTAATCTTCTTTATTGGATTTATATCCCCCTGAGCTATGAACACACTTGGGATTTATGTTAATATCACACAGACATGTAGGTACCTGTTCTCAACATGTGCAGTCTTGATAGTAAGGGCTTTATAGAATTGTATTTTTTCAATTTATGTGACTGTCCCAAGTCAGGAGATTGTAATTCTATGTGACTGTCCCAAGTCTGGAGATTGTAATTCTATGTGACTGTCCCAGGTCAGGAGATTGTAATTCTATGTGACTGTCCCAAGTCAGGAGATTGTAATTCTATGTGACTGTCCCAAGTCAGGAGATTGTAATTCTATGTGACTGTCCCAAGTCAGGAGATTGTAATTTTATGTGACTTTCCCAAGTCAGGAGATTGTAATTCAGTTGTTGATGTTGGTTGCTGTCTGTCATGTGACTGTCCAAGGTCTGGAGACTTCAGTTGTTGATGTTGGTTGCTGTCTGTCATGTGACTGTCCCAGGTCAGGAGACTTCAGTTGTTGATGTTGGTTACTGTCTGTCATGTGACTGTCCCTAATCAGGAGATTGTAATTCAGTTGTTGATGTTGGTTGCTGTCTGTCATGTGACTGTCCCAGGTCTGGAGACTTCAGTTGTTGATGTTGGTTGCTGTCATGTGACTGTCCCAGGTCAGGAGACTTCAGTTGTTGTTGTTGGTTGCTGTCTGTCATGTGACTGTCCCAAGTCTGGAGACTTCAGTTGTTGATGTTGGTTGCTGTCTGTCATGTGACTGTCCCAGATCAGGAGACTTCAATTGTTGATGTTGGTTGCTGTCTGTCATGTGACTGTCCCAGGTCAGGAGACTTCAGTTGTTGATGTTGGTTGCTGTCTGTCATGTGACTGTCCCAGGTCAGGAGACTTCAGTTGCTGATGTTGGTTGCTGTCTGTCATGTGACTGTCCCAAGTCTGGAGACTTCAGTTGTTGATGTTGGTTGCTGTCTGTCATGTGACTGTCCCAGATCAGGAGACTTCAGTGGTTGATGTTGGTTGCTGTCTGTCATGTGACTGTCCCAGGTCAGGAGACTTCAGTTGTTGATGTTGGTTGCTGTCTGTCATGTGACTGTCCCGTCTGGAGACTTTAGTTGTTGATGTTGGTTGTTGTCTGTCATGTGACTGTCCCAGGTAAGGAGACTTCAGTTGTTGATGTTGGTTTCTGTCTGGCATGTGACTTTCCTAGGTCAGGAGATTGTAATTCAGTTGTTGATGTTGGTTGCTGTCTCTCATGTGACTGTCCCAGGTCTGGAGACTTCAGTTGTTGATGTTGGTTGCTGTCTGCCATGTGACTGTCTCAGGTCAGGAGACTTTAGTTGTTGATGTTGGTTGCTGTCTGTCATGTGACTGTCCCAGGTCAGGAGACTTCAGTTGTTGATGTTGGTTGCTGTCTGTCATGTGACTGTCCCAATGTCTGGAGACTTCAGTTGTTGATGTTGGTTGCTGTCTGTCATGTGATTGTGCCAGGTCAGGAGACTTCAGTTGTTGCTGTTGGTTGCTGTCTATCATGTGACTGTCCCAAGTCAGGAGATTGTAATTCAGTTGTTGATGTTGGTTGCTGTCTGTCATGTGACTGTCCCAGGTCAGGAGACTTCAGTTGTTGATGTTGGTTGCTGTCTGTCATGTGACTGTCCCAGGTCAGGAGACTTCAGTTGTTGATGTTGGTTGCTGTCTGTCATGTTTTTGTTTCCTGTTTGGTCCTAAATCATTTTCTCGTTTGAATTGTTTTTAATTTTGTCATGACAATGCCTTTTGTAGCTGATTATACAGTATGGGTTTTGCTCCTTGTTGAAGGCTGTATGTTAACCTATATACAGCAACATGGTATGGACTTTAGTTTTCTCATTGGACAGTCATACATCTTATTTCTAGTATAATTTAGTACTCCTGACAAACATTACGTTTACACAAGATTCCTATCATGATTTCCTTGATAGAGGGTTGCTGCTGACAAGAAAGCTATTAAACATGATTTCCTTGATAGAGGGTTGCTGCTGACAAGAAAGCTATTAAACATGATTTCCTTGATAGAGGGTTGCTGCTGACAAGAAAGCTATTAAACATGATTTCCTTGATAGAGGGTTGCTGCTGACAAGAAAGCTATTAAACATGATTTCCTTGATAGAGGGTTGCTGCTGACAAGAAAGCTATTAAACATGATTTCCTTGATAGAGGGTTGCTGCTGACAAGAAAGCTATTAAACTCAAGAGTTCCAAGTGGTGAAGTTAAAATCATCAAAAAATTCATAAACTTTACAGACAAGTTGGTTGACTGTTATGGAATATACGTTTCACAGATGACAGCCGATAAGTTCCAATGGTCTTAACTACAATCCTGTCCCCTTTTCCCTGAATGTGACCTACCGAATTAAGACTTATTATCAGGTTTGTACTAACATGAGCAACACAACGGGTGCCACATGTGAAGCAGGATATGCTTACCCTTCCGGAGCACCTGAGATCACACCCAGTTTTTGGTGGGGTTCGTGTTGCTCAGTCTTTAGTTTTCTATGTTGTGTTTTGTGTACTGATGGTCTTATCTTTTTTTAACCATGGCGTTGTCAGTTTATTTTCTACTTATGAGTTTGAATGTGCATTCGGTATCTTTTGTCTCTCATTTATAAGTGGTGCCTAAATCAAAACAGTTTGAAGGCCAAATCATACCAGGAATGGATTCTACGATCAGTATTTTCGCGCACCTATTAATATGATTAATGATCCAAATCTTAAAATCAATCTTTTTATTTAAAATAATATTCACAAATAATACACAATGTCCTTGATACACATGAAAATATTTCTATAGCAACTAATACACATAAAATAAAAAGTTTGTACACATTTTACATACAAAAACAAATATTATTATCCTAAAAATAGAAAAGACAGCACAATGGTTTTACTAACAAAATAGACACAAACACATTTTGTTCTTGCAAAATTGTGAAATCCTTCAAACTGATACAAAAAATAAAGTTTATATCATTTTGACCTTTATAGATAAGTATAGGTCAACAATGATTTGCTAACCTTGTTCCAACAACAAGAATAACATGAACACATAAAATAAAGAACAAAAGAAACAGCCATTCACCATTAAAGAACACAAAAACAAGAAACAAAATTACATAAAATAAATATTATACCATTGTCACATGATTGCTAAAAAGATTGAAGGTCTAGAATTATGTCAAATACTGGGCAAAGGGAGGTAACCTCAATATAAAATAAAGAGATGTAGTATTATTGCCAGTGAGACAACTATTCACCAAATGATGTGGATGTCAACAAATCTTCTCACCAAAATACCAGTAACCATGGTAACATATCTGCAAACTTTCAAGTCTTATAAACTAAAATGCATTCAATTGATGACTTGAGTATTTTCAAATAAAGTTAAAATATAGAAATTATACATCATTAAAAAAAAAACCACTTAAGCACTTAAGTGGATTTAAGTTTGTAAACCATGAGCTTAATTTCAGACAAGATATATGAAATTTCGTTATCCGTTTAACTTTTTGTAATTTCAAATGGCAGATGGTATAAATATAATAATCAAGGAATGACTGTAATATTATTTCTGTCTATGAAGAAATAACATCAAAAATGTGGTGCACACAGAATAACCTGCATAGTTAGCCAATCAGAAGACGTGTTACATACAAAATTAAATTATACAAAATTAACATAAACGTTTTCTTGTTTGAAATTGTTTTACATTTTGCCATATCAAAGCCTTTAAAATCTTACTATACAGTACGGGATTTGTTAATAGTTGACGGCCGTAGGGTGACCTATAATTGTATTGGACTCTGGTGGATATTTGTCTCATTGGCAATCTTATCACATCTTATTTTTACATGTATTAATTGTTGGCCTTATTTCTAATTCCTTACATGATAACCTTCTATAGCCTTTCAATTTTACAGTTCATAAATAAACCGAAATATAGATTAGATAAATGTAAAAAAGGGGAAATAACTCTTGTGGACATATGTTCTAAAAAATCTTTGATCATAAATTGCAAAATATTAATGGATGTGTTTCAGAAAACACTAAAAAAAGGATAGTAAAAGATATTATGCTAGTTTTTTTAATATTACTTAGATCAGGAGGGTCATGCAATGAGCTGAGTGTAGTTTTTACAACATTTCACAATAACTGTACACATATTACTATCTTGCATCTACAAAACTTTTATGCACAATTTGTAAAATAATCACTTTAATTATACATGATATGTGTTATCTATAAAATTAACATTACTGTTAATTCACAAATTTTTGCTATGCACTTACTATTGTAAAATTTGTGAAGGAATAGGAATTGCAAAAACAAAAACTACCATTTAACAACTATTTGTATGCCACATTTTCTGAATTTGCAATATTTTACTCCACTTTGTGTGCCAAATTTTCTGAATTCGCAAAATTTTACTCCACTTTGTGTGCCACATTTTCTAAAATTCGTAATGTTTTACTTTGTATGCCACATTTTCTGAAATTTGCAATATTTTACTTAGTATGCCACATTTTCTGAAATTTGCAATATTTTACTTTGTATGCCATTTTCTGAAATTCGCAATATTTTACTTTGTATGCCAAATTTTCTGAAATTCGCAATATTTTACTCCATTCATCAAAAATGGCAAGAATAAATGCACAAAATAATTTCTAAATTTATAGTACATTTGTATATCATTATACACCTAAAACATTTTTTTTTTAGTTTTCTACTGACAGTATAAGAATAACCCATAATAACAGAAACATTACAAGGCAAGTTTTTTAAAAATTCAACATTAAAAAAAACTGGCTTGAACAAAATAAAAAGTATAAACATGATAATCTGATATGCCACAAAATAATTAAATCAATTTTCAAGCACTTTCAAAATTGATTTTTTTTTTTTAACAATTTCACCAAAATTAGGTTAAAATCTGGTTGTTGGTTGAATTTGGTTTTTTTTTAAATGTTTTTTTTTTTGTTGGCTTTTGGTTTATTAAAAAAAACCTTTTTTCTATGGCACAACATGATCAATTAATATACATTTGTATGGAATGTGTGGTTACAGTTGCCATGGTTGCAATTAAAGACTTTTAATCATAATCATATTTTGTTCTAACGAAATACAATTTACAAATACAAATACATTTTACTGTGAACAGTATTCTATCATAGAGGTTCGAGATCATCATTTATAAATAATGTGGATTCAATTACTTTAATTGTTCAAACTAACGTTGACAAATTGCTTTTTTTGTGAACACTTCATTTTATTTCTTTGACAAAGTCTGTTTTAATACAAGCTTATAGAAAATAAATTTTTGATAAACACTTAATTTCATAGTTCACCTTTGTCCAAATCATCCACCATGAAAATGAGTACCCCATTTATAAGGGCTATTCCATTAAAATAAATAGGTAGGGAGGGAAATTTTTTAGACAAAATTGAGGGTCATTTAATGATTGATTGATTGTTGGTATTTATCGCCACCTTCAACACTACTGACTATATATCATGGTGATTAATTTTTGTTGGTGGAAAAAGTAGGAGTGCCCGGAGAGAACCAGGATCTATGGTAGGAAAACTGACAATCCTAGTCAATTAAGATGGCAGTTGAAAGCACATGCCAAGTGCGGGGTTTGAACTCACTTACTCAGTGTTGACAAGTTTTTGAGGGTCATTTAAGGTTAAATGTCCATTTTATTCATGCAAATTGGTCAAACAAATGTTGGTAATGGGGGATTTTGGAAATCCATTCCTGCCCTCCCTTATTAAGCTAAATGGAATAGCCCTTATTGAATCCATGGTATTGTTTTACTTTCAAACTTAGAATCGAAAATTGAAAGTAAAACTTGATGATGTAATTGTACATTTTTAAGGTATCAAAAAAGGGGGTCTACCCTTTTTGATTTTCATAAACAAAATTTCCACATGTCATAGTATTCTCTTATATTATTTATCAAAATATTGGAAATGCCAAAAGGCTTCTATCAAAGCTAACAATAAAATCAAAGCTACCATACATAAATTACACCTGACATTGACTTTACAGATTGATTAATTGCTTTTTTTTTAACGTTTAGCCACACAAATAATCAATCAACCTATCTTATTAAATATGAACTGAATGTAAAAAATGTCTATTGCATTATACTATTTGGCAATTCAACAAGACTTAATGGTAAAAATAAAGACTAGAAAATGTTGGTTCAGCAGATTGCATCTGTAAATATCTCCGCCATTGTGTCACAATAATACCGGGTAATCTCATTGGGTAACGTCTTCCATCCCTTACTGTACGACTCAAGTAATTCTAGTAAGGAACACCTGGCTCTGGCCGATCTCCTGTAATATAAAATATATACTGTATGACTCAAGTAATTCTAGTAACTAACACCTGGCTCTGGCTGATCTCCTGTAATATAAAATATATACTGTACGACTCAAGTAATTCTAGTAACTAACACCTGGCTTTGGCCGATCTTCTGAAATATAAAATATATACTGTACGACTCAAGTAATTCTAGTAATGATCACCTGGCTCTGGCCGATCTCCTGTAATATAAAATATATACTGTACGACTCAAGTAATTCTAGTAATGAAAACCTGGCTCTGGCTGATCTCCTGTAATATAAAATATATACTGTACGACTCAAGTAATTCTAGTAAATAACACCTGGCTCTGGCCAATCTCCTGTAATATAAAATATATACCGGTACTGTACGAATCAAGTAATTCTAGTAATGAACACCTGGCTCTGGCTGATCTTCTGTAATATAAAATATATACTGTACGACTCAAGTAATTCTAGTATTGAAAACCTGGCTCTGGCTGATCTCCTGTAATATAAAATATATACTGTACGACTCAAGTAATTCTAGTAAATAACACCTGGCTCTGGCCAATCTCCTGTAATATAAAATATATACTGTACGACTCAAGTAATTCTAGTAATGAACACCTGGATCTGGCTGACCTTCTGTAATATAAAATATATACTGTACGACTCAAGTAATTCTAGTAATGAACACCTGGCTTTGGCCGATCTTCTGTAATATAAAATATATACTGTACGACTCTAGTAATTCTAGTAATGAACACCTGGCTCTGGCCGATCTCCTGTAATATAAAATATATACTGTACGACTCAAGTAATTCTAGTAACTAACACCTGGCTCTGGCTGATCTCCTGTAATATAAAATATATACTGTACGACTCAAGTAATTCTAGTAACTAACACCTGGCTTTGGCCGATCTTCTGTAATATAAAATATATACTGTACGACTCAAGTAATTCTAGTAACTAACACCTGGCTCTGGCTGATCTCCTGTAATATAAAATATATACTGTACGACTCAAGTAATTCTAGTAACTAACACCTGGCTTTGGCCAATCTTCTGTAATATAAAATATATACTGTAAATTCAGAAATTATTGCGAGGTTTTTATTAATGCAAATAATGCGACTGTATGAGTATCGCAATAATAAAAACTCGCATTCTGATAACTTAAACATAGATCTGTATGCAGATTTTCGAAATCGCAATAATTAAACTCGCATTTTTGTCTATTCTTGAAAAATCGCAATAATAAATGCACGCAATAATTTCTGAATTTACAGTACTGTACGACTCAAGTAATTCTAGTAATGATCACCTGGCTCTGGCCGATCTCCTGTAATATAAAATATATACTGTACGACTCAAGTAATTCTAGTAATGAAAACCTGGCTCTGGCTGATCTCCTGTAATATAAAATATATACTGTACGACTCAAGTAATTCTAGTAAATAACACCTGGCTCTGGCCAATCTCCTGTAATATAAAATATATACTGTACGAATTAAGTAATTCTAGTAATGAACACCTGGCTCTGGCTGATCTTCTGTAATATAAAATATATACTGTACGACTCAAGTAATTCTAGTAATGATCACCTGGCTCTAGCCGATCTCCTGTAATATAAAATATATACTGTACGACTCAAGTAATTCTAGTATTGAAAACCTGGCTCTGGCTGATCTCCTGTAATATAAAATATATACTGTACGACTCAAGTAATTCTAGTAAATAACACCTGGCTCTGGCCAATCTCCTGTAATATAAAATATATACTGTACGACTCAAGTAATTCTAGTAATGAACACCTGGATCTGGCTGACCTTCTGTAATATAAAATATATACTGTACGACTCAAGTAATTCTAGTAATGAACACCTGGCTTTGGCCGATCTTCTGTAATATAAAATATATACTGTACGACTCAAGTAATTCTAGTAATGAACACCTGGCTCTGGCTGATCTTCTGTAATATAAAATATATACTGTACGACTCAAGTAATTCTAGTAATGAACACCAGGCTCTCACTGATCTTCTGTAAATAAAAATTATAAACTGTACGACTCAAAATAGTCTGAATTCTTAGGAACACAATCAATAGGTTATCTTTCTAGTAGTTTTCTCTTTTGAATTGTTTCACAATTTTTATGTCAGGGCCGTTTATAGCTGACTCTACAGTACTTTTTTTCTTCATTTTTGAAGGCTGTACGGTGATCTATAATTGTTTATATAACCACATCATTTGAACTCTGGTGGATAGTTGTCTCATTGGCAATATACTACATCTCTTTATTTTTATAATAATTCAAAACGCTTGACGATTTTCATTTACTAGGCATTCATGCATTAATGTAGCCATTGTTTATTAACAGTATATAAGGAATTATCCACGTCAGTCAATTCTTTTGGCTTTTTTTAAACCATTAGTTCTTCTATTTTTCAAAATAAAAAGAGCATGGTTGATTATTAATAAAACTAATTTTGGCCTGCAACATAATGGTATGTCTGCAGATGGAAAAAGATATGCAAGCTGCAGACATACCATTATGTCTTTTTCATGTATGTAAAGGAGTAGGTCCGGTAAGGGCCGATTTTGGCCTCAAAATTCAGGTTCATCTGATGAAAGATTTTGGACACTTTTTAAACACTTAAGTGTCTACTTTAGTCGATTCAATAGTTTATGTGAAAGATTTGAACTGATTTAGTCATTATTGAAGCTCAAATTCAAGCTTAAATATGAAAAATCTTTTAAATATGCCATAATATGTCACTTTTCAGATGGTTTTTGTCAAAAATGAAAGTGGCCGCATCCGTGTTCATTCTCAACCTTTATATATGTTATGTATTATCATCAAATACAACTTACATTTAAATATTAAGAATGAACACAAATGCGGCCACTTCCATTTCAGACGGAAACCGTCTAAAAATTAACCAAAATGCTAAAATTTCGAAGATTTCAGTAATTTAGCATGACTTAATGATGCTAGTACCCTATACATGTGCATTGTATTGTCAAAAACAGCCCATATTTATGTAACAGAAGTATTCTTCTATCCAATAAATAGTTAAAAATTTACATTTTAACAATTTTGTAAAACTGCTATATTTTGGGGCCAAAAAGGGGTCTTACTGGACCTACTCCTTTGGCATGAATGGTGATTGTCTCTGTTGAATCCATTCCCTTGTCTAAACTTGTTGTATGTTGTTGGTTCCTTGTTGAATCCATTCCCTTGTCTAAACATTTTGTATGTTGTGGGTTCCTTGTTGAATCCATTCCTTTGTCTAAACATGTTGTATACTGTGGGTTCCTTGTTGAATCCATTCCCTTGTCTAAACATGTTGTGGGTTCCTTGTTGAATCCATTCCCTTGTCTAAACATGTTGTATGTTGTGGGTTCCTTGTTGAATCCATTCTCTTGTCTAAACATGTTGTGGGTTCCTTGTTGAATCCATTCCCTTGTCTAAACATGTTGTATGTTGTGGGTTCCTTGTTGAATCCATTCCCTTGTCTAAACATGTTGTATGTTGTGGGTTCCTTGTTGAATCCATTCTCTTGTCTAAACATGTTGTGGGTTCTTTGTTGAATCCATTCCCTTGTCTAAACATGTTGTATGTTGTGGGTTCCTTGTTGAATCCATTCCCTTGTCTAAACATGTTGTATGTTGTGGGTTCCTTGTTGAATCCATTCCCTTGTCTAAACATGTTGTATGTTGTGGGTTCCTTGTTGAATCCATTCCCTTGTCTAAACATGTTGTATGTTGTGGGTTCCTTGTTGAATCCATTCTCTTGTCTAAACATGTTGTATGTTGTGGGTTCCTTGTTGAATCCATTCTCTTGTCTAAACATGTTGTGGGTTCTTTGTTGAATACATTCCCTTGTCTAAACATGTTGTATGTTGTGGGTTCATTGTTGAAGACCATATTGTGAACCTCACATCACTACTAGCAAACAATTAACATAAATAACTGATGAAGTTTTCCAAAGATATTTATCATCTATTGTCATCTATGTGTCATCTATTGTCATATGTGTCATCTATGTGTCATCTGTGTGTCATTTATGTGTCATCTACAACTTACCCATCTTTAATGATCTTTGTTCGCACTTTCTCCATTAATTCTGACATTTTACTTTCATCAAAAGCTTCTAATTCTTTACCTATACTTTGTATCTGGTAAAAACAGAAAAGCACATTTATTTATACAGTTTTTGACCCCGGTTAATCAGATAATCACATTTAGTAAGAGAGTTATTGCCCATTGTAAAAAAATAGATTATCACATTTAGTAGAACAGCTATTCCCCCATGTTAAAACAGGTATTCTCATTTAGTAACAGTTATTGTCCCTTGTTAAAACAAATAATCATATTCAGTATAGCAGTTATTGTCCCTTGCTAAACAGATAAATATATTTAGTAGCCCATTTATTGCTACTTGTTAAAACAGGTAGTAATCATTTGATGGCAGAGTTATTGCTCCTTGTAAGAATGAATAAATGCATTTAGTAGCACAATTATTATACATCCTTGGGCTTGGCTTTCAAAAATTCTGCTCTGAGCCTTCTTGATGAAGGTAAATCCAGAAAAACGCTTCAGATGCATGAAATTTATGGTGTTTTTTATTGTCCCTTTTTAAAACTGTACAATGATAAAGATCAAAATTTAAAAAAATTATATGGATACAATTTACAATGATCATTATTTCAGGACAGTATATTATTGTTGTTTGTTGAAATTGACATAGTAAGATACAGGCTTTTAAATTTAAATTTTGGTTTTAAAGCATTCCTAAATAATGTTAATCCAGAAAAGGACTTCAGATGCAGATGCACGATATTTATAATGTGTAATGTCTTTTTATAGTAATAACTTTTTTAAACTTGATTTTGTTACATGACATCATTTTTCATTACCATATTGCAGTTGCAGAAATACTAGTTTGTCTAAGGCCAAGGGGACATTACTCCATACCTAAAATAATGTTCTAAAGGGACATAACTCCTTACATGTAATACTAAATCTAAGGGGACATAACTCCATACCTAAAATAATGTTGTAATGGGACATAAATGACTCCTTCCTGTAATATTTATCTAAGGGGAAATTATTCCAAACCTGGAATAATCTTCTAAGAGGACATTACTCCTTACCTGTAAAAATTATCCAAGGGGACATTACTCCATACCTGAAATAATGTTGTAAATGGACATTAATCCTAACCTGAAATAGTGTTGTTAAGGGACATTACTCCTTACCTGTAATGATAATCTAAAGGGACATTACTCCTTACCTGTAATACTAATCTAAAGGGACATTACTCCTTACCGGTAATACTTATCTAATGGGACATAACTACTTACCTGTAATACTTATCTTAAGGGACATAACTCCGTACCTGTAATACTAATCTAAAGGGACACAACTCCTTACCTGTAATACTTATCTAAAGAGACATAACTCCTTACCTGTAATACTAATCTAATGGGATATAACTACTTAACTGTACTTATCTAAAGGAACATTTCTCCTTACCTGTAATACTTATCTAAAGGGACATAACTCCTTACCTGTAATACTAATCTAAAGGGACACAACTCCTTACCTGTAATACTAATCTAAAGGGACATAACTCCTTACCTGTAATAATAAACACTCGTAATCATCGTCAGAGGAATTGTCATCATCAAATATTGTATAGATACAATCATATATAGGTCCACTCAGTACATTAAATGGTTCTCCTTTAGCTGTTCTCATGTTACCAAATACTTGGCATAAAAATGTCACAAAACCTAAAAATCTTCCTGGGCTCTTTGTTCTTAAACTATCTTTATCTGAAATACAACATTAAACATTTATTCATGAAAATTCTACTATCAATCTACATGTAGCCACCATAGCAGTCTCATAGCCACTAATGCTATCAATCTACAGGTATCCACCATAGCAGTCTCATAACCACTAATGCTATCAATCTACAGGTAGCCACCATAGCAGTCCCATAGCCACTAATGCTATGAATCTACAGGTAGCCACCATAGCAGTCTCATAGCCACTAATGCTATGAATCTACAGGTAGCCACCATAGCAGTCTCATAGCCACTAATGCTATGAATCTACAGGTAGCCACCATAGCAGTCTCATAGCCACTAATGCTATGAATCTACAGGTAGCCACCATAGCAGTCTCATAGCCACTAATGATATCAATCTACAGGTAGCCACCATAGCAGTCTCATAACCACTAATGCTATCAATCTACAGGTGGCCACCATAGCAGTCTCATAGCCACTAATGCTATTAATCTACAGGTAGCCACCATAGCAGTCTCATAACCACTAATGCTATCAATTTAATCATGACCATAGGAGAAAGCTTTGGTTCAATCATGCCCATAGGAGAAAGCTTTGGTTCAATCATGGCCATAGGAGAAAGCTTTGGTTCAATCATGGCCATAGGAGAAAGCTTTGGTTCAATCATGGCCATAGGAGAAAGCTTTGGTTCAATCATGGCCAAGGAGAAAGCTTTGGTTCAATCATGGCCATAGAAGAAAGCTTTGGTTCAATCATGGCCATAGGAGAAAGCTTTGCTACAATCATGGCCATAGGAGAAAGATTTGCTTCAATCATGGCCATAGAAGAAAAGCTTTGCTTCAACCTTATTTGCAACAAGAGTGCACACGCTGAAATGTCTCGCCTTCTTTACTAATCATTGATATTATGTTGATAGTCCTAAATATAAAGCTTTATTACAACTGTCACATAAACTTAACATTAACCAAGTAAACTAAACATTGACCATTGAACCATGAAAATGAGGTCAAGGTCAGATGAACCATGCTAGGCAGGCATGTACAGCTAACAATTCTTCCATACAACAAATATAGTTGACCTATTGCTTATAGTTTAAGAAAAACAGACCAAAACACAAAAACTTAACACTGAGCAATGAACCTTGAAAATGAGGTCAAGGTCAAATAAAACCTGCATGACTGCCAAATAGATCATAAAATATTTCCATACACCAAATATAGTTGAACTATTGCATATAGTATTAGAAAAAAAGACCAAAACTCAAAAAACTTAACTTTGACCACTGAACCATGAAAATGAGGTCATGGTCAGATGACACCTGCTCGCTAGACATGTACACCTTACAATCATTCCATACACTAAATATAGTAGACCTATGGCATACAGTATAAGAAAAACAGACCAAAACACAAAACTTAACTATAACCACTGAACCATGAAAATGAAGTCAAGGTCAGATGACACCTGCCAGTTGGACATGTACACCTTACAGTCCTTCCATACACCGAATATACAAGACCTATTGCTTATAGTATCTGAGATATGGACTTGACCACCAAAACTTAACCTTGTTCACTGATCCATAAAATGAGGTCGAGGTCAAGTGAAAACTGTCTGACGGGCATGAGGACCTTGCAAGGTACGCACATACCAAATATAGTTGAACTATTGCATATAGTATTAGAAAAAAAGACCAAAACTCAAAAACTTAACTTTGACCACTGAACCATGAAAATGAGGTCAAGGTCAGATGACACCTGCCCGCTAGACATGTACACCTTACAATCATTCCATACACCAAATAAAGTAGACCTATGGCATACAGTATAAGAAAAACAGACCAAAACACAAAAACTTAACTATAACCACTGAACCATGAAAATGAGGTCAAGGTCAGATGACACCTGCCAGTTGGACATGTACACCTTACAGTCCTTCCATACACTGAATATACAAGACCTATTGCTTATAGTATCTGAGATATGGACTTGACCACCAAAACTTAACCTTGTTCACTGATCCATAAAATGAGGTCGAGGTCAAGTGAAAACTGTCTGACGGGCATGAGGACCTTGCAAGGTACGCACATACCAAATATAGTTATCCTATTACTTATAATAAGAGAGAATCTAACATTACAAAAAATCTGAACTTTTTTTTCAAGTAGTCACTGAACCATGAAAATGAGGTCAAGGACATTTGACATGTGACTGACGGAAACTTCGTAACATGAGGCATCCATATACAAAGTATGAAGCATCCAGACCTTCCACCTTCTAAAACATAAAGCTTTTAAGAAGTTAGCTAACGCCGCCGCCGCCGCATCACTATCCCTATGTCGAGCTTTCTGCGACAAAAGTCGCAGGCTCGACAAAAATGAGGAAGCTTTCAAATTGGTACAATCATTAGGGTCACAAATGAGAAAGCTGTGGTTTAACCTTTTACAAAATAAAACCATACACATGCTTAATCAACATTTTATATTGTAATTTGATTGGCTTTAACAAGTTTCCAGATGTCTTATTGAAGGCCGAAAGAAAGTGGTCTTAAACAATTCTTCTTACAGTTGATATTCAAACTCCTCTGTATCATGTCCAGTGATAAGGAAGGTACAAATATAAGATGATGCTGGCTACTTGGCAAAACTGAGAACTGCATATATTTTCTGTATTCTTAATCCAAATATCTGTTGTCAACAAATTCTAATAGATTTGGGAATAGTAGAGCAGGAACCGCTAACTTCCGAGGCACCTGAGTTCACAACCAGTTTTTGGCGGAGGTTATTTATATTGGTTAATCTTTAGAGGTCTGTACAGTTTTAAATTATCAGCTGATTATTGATTTTATGTTCAAATGGTAACATGGGTAACGCATGACGAGTTCAAAGTGGAATCCCAGTGTTGTTTGTCTTTTTACCATTTTTTTTTTAGACAGAGTAAACTATCTACCAGAGACCAAATGAAATAGATGTACAAGCAATTATAGGACGACCTATAGCCTTAAAGAATTAACAAAACCCATACCGCATAGCAAGCTATGAGCATACATGACATAACAAAATGTCAAACAAAACCCATACAGCATAGCAAGTTATGAACATGCAAGACATAACAAAATGTCAAACAAAACCCATAGCCTGATTCATGTACAAAACAACAAATGAAAAAAACAAATATGACATGCAGTAAGTAAAATCTGTTTTTCTTTGACTTATCAGCTTTCTTACCTCCTCGGTACCTTCTCCAATCTTTCATGTCGTCATACATGTACATATGATATACACGTACACGATACACATGATACACACATATATACATGATACACACGTACACATGAACACATGATACACGATACACATGAACATGATACACATACACATGATACACACGTACACATGATACACACGTACACATGATACACACATACACGATACACATGAACATGATACACATACACATGATACACACGTACACATGATACACACGTACACATGATACACACAAACACATGATACATGATAAATAAGCATGTACTAAAACATTTTTTGGTATGAACATGATGAAGTTTTTCATAAAAACTCTCATCTTTTGTGATAAATTTTCATATTGAGCGCTGATAATTTTCACTCTGAATATTCCATAGGGTCATAAATCAGATTATTATATTTCACGTTGAAATGCCAAATTTTGATTAGTTAATACGAGGGAGATATTTTACTCTATCACATGGCTTATATTCTATTACCCTTGACGGTGATGCTTGATCTGACATTTGTGCATTTTATTCAATAGGGATGATTGTTACGTACATGATGTCAAAGTTTAATAACATATGATACAGCTGAGAGGGTTATAGCGCAGATTGTTACCCCTCAAAAAAAGTTTGTCAACATTAACTTCCCCTGGGTTGACATTGAATCAATCAACACTCAGAAGATCTATTTTGGCATACTTCACCAAATGTCCCATCATATTTATCAGAGAATGAGACAGAAAGATATGGCTACTCAATGGTCCAAATGTCTGGTAGACAATATTCTCTAATCTGTAATTTTGTGCTGAAGGATGTTTGCTACTCTGTCTCAAAATAACAAGCTTTTTAAAAGTCTGTTATAAATTGATAGTATATAAATAAAAGAACTAAAAAAGCAGAAAAAAATGAAGGGTCCGTGTGCTTGTTTTCGAGATATCAGCCATTGAAAATTTGGCAGGAAATGATTCTCTCTAGATTTTTAATATACATTTAACATTATCACCTTTTTTCTTTCAAAAACTATGAAAAAATTAAAGAACCTTAAGGAACGCGCTCACATACCCCACGTCCCCACATTGTCATTGGAGAAATAAAATATGTGTAAGAAAAAAAAATTGTATAAGAAAAAAAAAATTGAATCATAATTTCCTGTCAATATGCACATCTACATAGTACAAATGTATGTCCTTATTATCTACAAAGTTTCATGAAATTATGTTGTGTGGTTTAAGAGGAGTTGCGATGACAAACTGTTGCAGAAGTACATTGAAGCAAATAAGTTCAAAGGGGCGTAACTCCTAGAAAAAAAATTGAATCATAATTTCCTGTTGATATGCACATCTACATAGTATGTCCTTATTATCTACAAAGTTTCATGAAATTCTATCGTGAGGTTTCAGAGGAGTTGTGATGACAAACTGTTGCAGTAGTACATTGAAGCAAATAAGTTCAAAGGGGCGTAACTCCTAGAAAAAAAATTGAATCATAATTTCCTGTCGATATGCACATCTACATAGTATGTTCTTATTATCTACAAAGTTTCATGAAATTCTGTTGTGTGGTTGTAGAGGAGTTGCGATGACAAACTGTTGCAGTAGTACATTGAAGCAAATAAGTTCAAAGGGGTGTAACTCCTAGAAAAAAAATTGAACTGTAATTTCCTGTCGATATGCACATCTACATAGTATGTCCTTATTATCTAATAAACTGCTTCGCTGAGCGCAGCTAGATACGCCCGCAGAGGTCCAACCCTGAACAGTTGGGGCAAAAATGGACACAATATTCAAGCTTGATTCAGGTCTGAATTTGGATTGTAATTAAATATTTGACATATTATAGGTGTCTGAATAAATGTATTCAAAGAACTTGAAATTGGTTATATGAATTGAATTTATGTTCAATTAAAGATTTCTTGCTGTTGTGCAATACTTAGTAAATCTGTTGTCAGACTATAAACAAATAAAGTATAATTAATTCTCAATGTCATATTAGAAATTTATGAAAATAAAAAGGGAGCTTACATCAATAGATATAAACAATTCACCAAAGTTTCATGAGAATTGGTGACAGCATTTTTGAGTTATTGTCAGAAAACTGGAAAATCACCCCTTTTTAATGAATAAAACCCCATAACTCAGAAATGTAAAATGTAAAATTTATAAAATTCTAAAGGGAGCTTACATCAATACATACAAACAATTCACCAAAGTTTCATAAGAATTGCTGAAAGCATTTGTGAGTTTTTGTCTGATAACTGGAAAGTCCCCCCTTTTTTTATGAATAAAACCCCGTAACTCGGAAACGTAAAATCTAAAATTTATAAAAATCAAAAGGGAGCTCATGTCAATAGATATAAACAATTCACCACAATTTCTTGCAAGTTGGTGAAAGCATTCTTGACTTATTGTCCGAAAACTGGAAAATCCCCCTTTTTTTAATGAATAAAACCCCATAACTCGGAAACGTAAAATCTAAATTTTATAAAAAACGAAAGGGAGCTCACGTCAATAGATATAAACAATTCACCAAAGTTTTATGCAAATTGGTTTAAGCAATTTTGAGTTAATGTCCGACATGTTGACGACGGACAGACGGACAGACGGACAGACGGACAGACGGACGGACGGACAGACGGACAACGGTATACCATAATACGTCCCGTAAACGGGCGTATAAAAAGGTTTCATGAAATTCTGTTGTGTGGTTTCAGAGGAGTTGTGATGACAAACTGTTGCAGTAGTACATTGAAGCAAATAAGTTCAAAGGGGTGTAACTCCTAGAAAAAAAATTGAACCGTAATTTCCTGTCGATATGCACATCTACATAGTATGTCCTTATTATCTACAAAGTTTCATGAAATTCTGTTGTGAGGTTTCAGAGGAGTTGTGATGACAAACTGTTGCAGTAGTACATTGAAGCAAATAAGTTCAAAGGGGCGTAACTCCTAGAAAAAAAATTGAATCATAATTTCCTGTCGATATGCACATCTACATAGTATGTTCTTATTATCTACAAAGTTTCATGAAATTCTGTTGTGTGGTTGTAGAGGAGTTGCGATGACAAACTGTTGCAGTAGTACATTGAAGCAAATAAGTTCAAAGGGGTGTAACTCCTAGAAAAAAAATTGAACTGTAATTTCCTGTCGATATGCACATCTACATAGTATGTCCTTATTATCTAAAAAGGTTTCATGAAATTCTGTTGTGTGGTTTCAGAGGAGTTGTGATGACAAACTGTTGCAGTAGTACATTGAAGCAAATGTTTTCAAAGAGGCGTAACTCCTAGAAAAAAAATTGAGCTGTAATTTCCTGTCGATATGCACATCTACATAGTATGTCCTTATTATCTAAAAAGGTTTCATGAAATTCTGTTGTGTGGTATCAGAGGAGTTGCGATGACAAGCTGTTGCAATAGTACATTGAAGCAAATAAGTTCATAGGGGCGTAACTCCTAGAAAAAAAAAATTAACCGTAATTTCCTGTAAATATGCACATCTACATAGTATGTCCTTATTATCTAAAAAGGTTTCATGAAATTCTGTTGTGTGGTATCAGAGGAGTTGCGATGACAAACTGTTGCAGTAGTACATTAAAGTAAATAAGTTCAAAGGGGCGTAACTCCTAGAAAAAAATTGAATCTCAATTTCCTGTCGATATGCACAACTACATAGTATGTCCTTATTATCTAAAAAGGTTTCGTGAAATTCTGTTGTGTGGTATCAGAGGAGTTGTGATGACAAGAAACAGGACTGACAGACGAACGGACAGACAGACGGACGGACAGACGGACGGGTCAAAAACATTATACCCTCCGCAATCCGTTGCGGAGGGGTATAATAACAATGATTTTATAAGATTTTCAAATATCGCTTTTATAACTATATGTTATAATATTATGAAAAGAAAAGTAGGGGTGAGCGGGCAATATCTATCACCAAACTCTCGATCCTTTATACATCTGTTATATATTATCATGATTATGTTAGCTAATTACCTTTATAATCTATTTGTACCAGTGACAACATAATGTTTCTAAATTTAGATCCCTCGACTTCCATGTTAGCCAGTCTATCACATAGACATGCCCCAGTTTTACCAAACTCTCGATCCTTTATACATCTGTTATATATTATGTTAGCTAATTCCTTCAGATCTGACGATGTCTTAACAGTATCTGCCATTGTCTGTATCTATAATAAAATAAGATGTGGTATGATTGCTCAGATCAAATGATGTCTTTTAATACAGTATCTGCCATTGTCTGTATCTATAATAAAATAAGACGTGGTATGATTGCTCAGATCTGATGATGTCTTTACAGTATCTGTATCTATAATAAAATAAGACGTGGTATGATTGCTCAGATCTGATGATGTCTTTACAGTATCTGTATCTATAATAAAATAAGACGTGGTATGATTGCTCAGATCTGATGATGTCTTTACAGTATCTGCCATTGTCTGTATCTATAATAAAATAAGACGTGGTATGATTGCTCAGATCTGACGATGATTTTACAGAATCTATATCTATAATAAAATAAGATGTGGTATGATTGCTCAGATCTGACGATGTCTTTACAGTATCTGTTTCTATAATAAAATAAGACGTGATATGATTGCTCAGATCTGATGATGTCTTTACAGTATCTGTATCTATAATAAATTAAGATGTGGTATGATTGCTCAGATCTGACGATGTCTTTACAGTATCTGTATCTATAATAAAATAAGACGTGGTATGATTGCTCAGATCTGATGATGTCTTTACAGTATCTGTTTCTATAATAAAATAAGACGTGGTATGATTGCTCAGATCTGACGATGATTTTACAGAATCTATATCTATAATAAAATAAGACGTGGTATGATTGCTCAGATCTGATGATGTCTTTTAATACAGTATCTGCCATTGTCTGTATCTATAATAAAATAAGACGTGGTATGATTGCTCAGATCTGATGATGTCTTTACAGTATCTGTTTCTATAATAAAATAAGACGTGGTATGATTGCTCAGATCTGATGATGTCTTTACAGTATCTGCTATTGTCTGTATCTATAATAAAATAAGACGTGGTCTGATTGTTCAGATCTGATGATGTCTTTACAGTATCTGTCATTGTCTGTATCTATAATAAAATAAGATGTGGTATGATTGCTCAGATCTGACGATGTCTTTACAGTATCTGTATCTATAATAAAATAAGACGTGGTATGATTGCTCAGATCTGACGATGTCTTTACAGTATCTGTATCTATAATAAAATAAGACTTGGTATGATTGCTCAGATCTGACGATGTCTTTACAGTATCTGTATCTATAATAAAATAAGATGTGGTATGATTACTCAGATCTGATGATGTCTTTACAGTATCTGTATCTATAATAAAATGAGACGTGGTATGATTGCTCAGATCTGACAATGTCTTTACAGTATCTACCATTGTCTGTATCTATAATAAAATAAGACGTGGTATGATTGCTCAGATCTGATGATGTCTTTTAAAACAGTATCTGCCATTGTCTGTATCTATAATTTACAGTATCTGTATCTATAATAAAATAAGACGTGGTATGATTGCTCAGATCTGACGATGTCTTTACAGTATCTACCATTGTCTGTATCTATAATAAAATAAGACGTGGTATGATTGCTCAGATCTGATGATGTCTTTACAGTATCTGTATCTATAATAAAATAAGATGTGGTATGATTACTCAGATCTGATGATGTCTTTACAGTATCTGTATCTATAATAAAATAAGACGTTGTATGATTGCTCAGATCTGATGATGTCTTTACAGTATCTGTATCTATAATAAAATAAGATGTGGTATGATTGCTCAGATCTGATGATGTCTTGACAGTATCTGCCGTTGTCTGTATCTATAATAAAATAAGACATGGTATGATTGCTCAGATCTGATGATGTCTTTACAGTATCTGTATCTATAATAAAATAAGACGTGGTATGATTGCTCAGATCTGACGATGTCTATACAGTATCTGCCATTGTCTGTATCTATAATAAAATAAGATGTGGTATGATTGCTCAGATCTGACGATGTCTTTACAGTATCTGTATCTATAATAAAATAAGACGTGGTATGATTGCTCAGATCTGATGATGTCTTTACAGTATCTGTATCTATAATAAAATGAGACGTTGTATGATTGCTCAGATCTGACGATGTCTTTACAGTATCTACCATTGTCTGTATCTATAATAAAATAAGACGTGGTATGATTGCTCAGATCTGACGATGTCTTGACAGTATCTGCTATTGTCTGTATCTATAATAAAATAAGACGTGGTATGATTGCTCAGATCTGAAGATGTCTTTACAGTATCTGTATCTATAATAAAATAAGACGTGGTATGATTGCTCAGATCTGATGATGTCTTTACAGTATCTGCTATTGCCTGTATCTATAATAAAATAAGACGTGGTATGATTGCTCAGATCTGATGATGTCTAGACAGTATCTGCTATTGTCTGTATCTATAATAAAATAAGACGTGGTATGATTGCTCAGATCTGACGATGTCTTTACAGTATCTGCCATTGTCTGTATCTATAATAAAATAAGACGTGGTATGATTGCTCAGATCTGATGATGTCTTTACAGTATCTGTATCTATAATAAAATAAGACGTGGTATGATTGCTCAGATCTGACGATGTCTTTACAGTATCTGTATCTATAATAAAATAAGACGTGGTATGATTGCTCAGATCTGATGATGTCTTTACAGTATCTGCCATTGTCTGTATCTATAATAAAATAAGACGTGGTATGATTGCTCAGATCTGATGATATCTTTACAGTATCTGCCATTGTCTGTATCTATAATAAAATAAGACGTGGTATGATTGCTCAGATCTGATGATATCTTTACAGTATCTGCCATTGTCTGTATCTATAATAAAATAAGACGTGGTATGATTGCTCAGATCTGATGATGTCTTTACAGTATCTGCCATTGTCTGTATCTATAATAAAATAAGACGTGGTATGATTGCTCAGATCTGATGATATCTTTACAGTATCTGCCATTGTCTGTATCTATAATAAAATAAGACGTGGTATGATTGCTCAGATCTGACGATATCTTTACAGTATCTGCCATTGTCTGTATCTATAATAAAATAAGACGTGGTATGATTACTCAGATCTGACGATGTCTTTACAGTATCTGTATCTATAATAAAATAAGATGTGGTATGATTACTCAGATCTGATGATGTCTTTACAGTATCTGTATCTATAATAAAATGAGACGTGGTATGATTGCTCAGATCTGACGATGTCTTTACAGTATCTACCATTGTCTGTATCTATAATAAAATAAGACGTGGTATGATTGCTCAGATCTGATGATGTCTTTTAAAACAGTATCTGCCATTGTCTGTATCTATAATTTACAGTATCTGTATCTATAATAAAATAAGACGTGGTATGATTGCTCAGATCTGACGATGTCTTTACAGTATCTACCATTGTCTGTATCTATAATAAAATAAGACGTGGTATGATTGCTCAGATCTGATGATGTCTTTACAGTATCTGTATCTATAATAAAATAAGATGTGGTATGATTGCTCAGATCTGATGATGTCTTTACAGTATCTGTATCTATAATAAAATAAGACGTTGTATGATTGCTCAGATCTGATGATGTCTTTACAGTATCTGTATCTATAATAAAATAAGATGTGGTATGATTGCTCAGATCTGATGATGTCTTTACAGTATCTGTATCTATAATAAAATAAGATGTGGTATGATTGCTCAGATCTGATGATGTCTTTACAGTATCTGTATCTATAATAAAATAAGATGTGGTATGATTGCTCAGATCTGATGATGTCTTTACAGTATCTGTATCTATAATAAAATAAGATGTGGTATGATTGCTCAGATCTGATGATGTCTTTACAGTATCTGTATCTATAATAAAATAAGACGTTGTATGATTGCTCAGATCTGATGATGTCTTTACAGTATCTGTATCTATAATAAAATAAGATGTGGTATGATTGCTCAGATCTGATGATGTCTTTACAGTATCTGTATCTATAATAAAATAAGATGTGGTATGATTGCTCAGATCTGATGATGTCTTTACAGTATCTGTATCTATAATAAAATAAGATGTGGTATGATTGCTCAGATCTGATGATGTCTTTACAGTATCTGTATCTATAATAAAATAAGATGTGGTATGATTGCTCAGATCTGATGATGTCTTTACAGTATCTGTATCTATAATAAAATAAGATGTGGTATGATTGCTCAGATCTGATGATGTCTTTACAGTATCTGTATCTATAATAAAATAAGATGTGGTATGATTGCTCAGATCTGATGATGTCTTTACAGTATCTGTATCTATAATAAAATAAGACGTGGTATGATTGCTCAGATCTGATGATGTCTTTACAGTATCTGTCATTGTCTGTATCTATAATAAAATAAGATGTGGTATGATTGCTCAGATCTGACGATGTCTTTACAGTATCTGTATCTATAATAGAATAAGATGTGGTATGATTGCTCAGATCTGATGATGTCTTTACAGTATCTGTATCTATAATAAAATAAGACGTGGTATGATTGCTCAGATCTGACGATGTCTTTACAGTATTTGTATCTATAATAGAATAAGACGTTGTATGATTGCTCAGATCTGATGATGTCTTTACAGTATCTGTATCTATAATAAAATAAGACGTGGTATGATTGCTCAGATCTGACGATGTCTTTACAGTATCTGTATCTATAATAAAATAAGACGTGGTATGATTGCTCAGATCTGATGATGTCTTTACAGTATCTGTCATTGTCTGTATCTATAATAAAATAAGATGTGGTATGACTGCTCAGATCTGACGATGTCTTTACAGTATCTGTATCTATAATAAAATAAGACGTGGTATGATTGCTCAGATCTGACGATGTCTTTACAGTATCTGTATCTATAATGAAATAAGACGTGGTATGATTGCTCAGATCTGATGATGTCTTTACAGTATCTGTCATTGTCTGTATCTATAATAAAATAAGATGTGGTATGATTGCTCAGATCTGACGATGTCTTTACAGTATCTGTATCTATAATAAAATAAGACGTGGTATGATTGCTCAGATCTGACGATGTCTTTACAGTATCTGTATCTATAATAAAATAAGACGTGGTATGATTGTTCAGATCTGATGATGTCTTTACAGTATCTGTATCTATAATAAAATAAGACGTGGTATGATTGCTCAGATCTGACGATGTCTTTACAGTATCTGTATCTATAATAAAATAAGACGTGGTATGATTGCTCAGACCTGACAATGTCTTGACAGTATCTGTATCTATAATAAAATAAGACGTGGTATGATTGCTCAGATCTGATGATGTCTTTACAGTATCTGTCATTGTCTGTATCTATAATAAAATAAGATGTGGTATGATTGCTCAGATCTGATGATGTCTTTACAGTATCTGTATCTATAATAAAATAAGACGTGGTATGATTGCTCAGATCTGATGATGTCTTTACAGTTTCTGCCATTGTCTGTATCTATAATAAAATAAGACGTGGTATGATTGTTCAGATCTGATGATGTCTTTACAGTATCTGTATCTATAATAAAATAAGACGTGGTATGATTGCTCAGATCTGATGATGTCTTTACAGTATCTGTATCTATAATAAAATAAGACGTGGTATGATTGTTTAGATCTGATGATGTCTTGACAGTATCTGCTATTGTCTGTATCTATTATAAAATAAGACGTGGTATGATTGCTCAGATCTGATGATGTCTTTACAGTATCTGTATCTATAATAAAATAAGACGTGGTATGATTGCTCAGATCTGATGATGTCTTTACAGTATCTGTATCTATAATAAAATAAGACGTGGTATGATTGCTCAGATCTGACGATGTCTTTACAGTATCTGTATCTATAATAAAATAAGACGTGGTATGATTGCTCAGATCTGACAATGTCTTGACAGTATCTGTATCTATAATAAAATAAGACGTGGTATGATTGCTCAGATCTGACGATGTCTTGACAGTATCTGTATCTATAATAAAATAAGACGTGGTATGATTGCTCAGATCTGACGATGTCTTTACAGTATCTGTATCTATAATAAAATAAGACGTGGTATGATTGCTCAGATCTGACGATGTCTTGACAGTATCTGCCATAATCTGTATCTATAATAAAATAAGACGTGGTATGATTGCTCAGATCTGACAATGTCTTGACAGTATCTGTATCTATAATAAAATAAGACGTGGTATGATTGCTCAGATTTGATGATGTCTTGACAGTATCTGCCATAATCTGTATCTATAATAAAATAAGACGTGGTATGATTGCTCAGATCTGACAATGTCTTTACAGTATCTGTATCTATAATAAAATAAGACGTGGTATGATTGCTCAGATCTGACGATGTCTTTACAGTATCTGTATCTATAATAAAATAAGACGTGGTATGATTGCTCAGATCTGATGATGTCTTTACAGTATCTGTATCTATAATAAAATAAGACGTGGTATGATTGCTCAGATCTGACGATGTCTTTACAGTATCTGTATCTATAATAAAATAAGACGTGGTATGATTGCTCAGATCTGATGATGTCTTTACAGTATCTGTCATTGTCTGTATCTTTAAAAAAATAAGACGTGGTATGATTGCTCAGATCTGATGATGTCTTTACAGTATCTGTATCTATAATAAAATAAGACGTGGTATGATTGCTCAGATCTGATGATGTCTTGACAGTATCTGCTATTGTCTGTATCTATAATAAAATAAGACGTGGTATGATTGCTCAGATCTGATGATGTCTCTACAGTATCTGTATCTATAATAAAATAAGACGTGGTATGATTGCTCAGATCTGATGATGTCTTTACAGTATCTGCCATTGTCTGTATCTATAATAAAATAAGACGTGGTATGATTGCTCAGATCTGACGATGTCTTTACAGTATCTGTATCTATAATAAAATAAGATGTGGTATGATTGCTCAGATCTGATGATGTCTTTACAGTATCTGTATCTATAATAAAATAAGACTTGGTATGATTGCTCAGATCTGACGATGTCTCTACAGTATCTGTATCTATAATAAAATAAGACGTGGTATGATTGCTCAGATCTGATGATGTCTTGACAGTATCTGCTATTGTCTGTATCTATAATAAAATAAGACGTGGTATGATTGCTCAGATCTGATGATGTCTCTACAGTATCTGCATCTATAATAAAATAAGACGTGGTATGATTGCTCAGATCTGATGATGTCTCTACAGTATCTGTATCTATAATAAAATAAGACGTGGTATGATTGCTCAGATCTGACGATGTCTTTACAGTATCTGCCATAATCTGTATCTATAATAAAATAAGACGTGGTATGATTGCTCAGATCTGACAATGTCTTGACAGTATCTGTATCTATAATAAAATAAGACGTGGTATGATTGCTCAGATCTGATGATGTCTTGACAGTATCTGCCATAATCTGTATCTATAATAAAATAAGACGTGGTATGATTTCTCAGATCTGACAATGTCTTTACAGTATCTGTATCTATAATAAAATAAGACGTGGTATGATTGCTCAGATCTGATGATGTCTTGACAGTATCTGCTATTGTCTGTATCTATAATAAAATAAGACGTGGTATGATTGCTCAGATCTGATGATGTCTCTACAGTATCTGTATCTATAATAAAATAAGACGTGGTATGATTGCTCAGATCTGATGATGTCTCTACAGTATCTGTATCTATAATAAAATAAGACGTGGTATGATTGCTCAGATCTGACGATGTCTTTACAGTATCTGTATCTATAATAAAATAAGACGTGGTATGATTGCTCAGATCTGATGATGTCTTTACAGTATCTGTATCTATAATAAAATAAGACGTGGTATGATTGCTCAGATCTGATAATGTCTTTACAGAATCTGTATCTTTAATAAAATAAGACGTGGTATGATTGCTCAGATCTGATGATGTCTTTACAGTATCTGCCATTGTCTGTATCTATAATAAAATAAGACGTGGTATGATTGTTCAGATCTGATGATGTCTTAACAGTATCTGTATCTATAATAAAATAAGACGTGGCATGATTGCTCAGATCTGATGATGTCTTTACAGTATCTGCCATTGTCTGTATCTATAATAAAATAAGACGTGGTATGATTGCTCAGATCTGATGATGTCTCTACAGTATCTGCCATTGTCTGTATCTATAATAAAATAAGACGTGGTATGATTGTTCAGATCTGATGATGTCTTTACAGTATCTGCCATTGTCTGTATCTATAATAAAATAAGACGTGGTATGATTGCTCAGATCTGATGATGTCTTAACAGTATCTGTATCTATAATAAAATAAGACGTGGTATGATTGCTCAGATCTGATGATGTCTTTACAGTATCTGCCATTGTCTGTATCTATAATAAAATAAGACGTGGTATGATTGCTCAGATCTGATGATGTCTTTACAGTATCTGCCATTGTCTGTATCTATAATAAAATAAGACGTGGTATGATTGCTCAGATCTGACGATGTCTTTACAGAAGCTGTATCTATAATAAAATAAGACGTGGTATGATTGCTCAGATCTGATGATGTCTGTACAGTATCTGTATCTATAATAAAATAAGACGTGGTATGATTGCTAAGATCTGATAATGTCTTTCCAGTATCTGTATCTATAATAAAATAAGACATGGTATGATTGCTCAGATCTGACGATGTCTTTACAGTATCTGTATCTATAATAAAATAAAATAAGACGTGGTATGATTGCTCAGATCTGATGATGTCTTAACAGTATCTGTATCTATAATAAAATAAGACGTGGTATGATTGCTCAGATCTGATGATGTCTTTACAGTATCTGCCATTGTCTCTATCTATAATAAAATAAGACGTGGTATGATTGCTCAGATCTGATGATGTCTTTACAGTATCTGCCATTGTCTGTATCTATAATAAAATAAGACGTGGTATGATTGCTCAGATCTGATGATGTCTTTACAGTATCTGCCATTGTCTGTATCTATAATAAAATAAGATGTGGTATAATTGCTCAGATCTGATGATGTCTTTACAGTATCTGCCATTGTCTGTATCTATAATAAAATAAGACGTGGTAGGATTGCTCAGATCTGACGATGTCTTAACGGTATCTGTATCTATAATAAAATAAGACGTGGTATGATTGCTCAGATCTAATGATGTCTTTACAGTATCTGCCATTGTCTGTATCTATAATAAAATAAGACGTGGTATGATTGCTCAGATCTGATGATGTCTTGACAGTATCTGCCATCATCGTATCTATAATAAAATAAGACGTGGTATGATTGCTCAGATCTGATGATGTCTTTACAGTATCTGTATCTATAATTATATATAATCCAAAATAAGACGTGGTATGATTGCTCAGATCTTTGTCCATCTTAAGTGTGACAGAATATATTTGTTTATATTCGATATATTCAACATGTTAAACAAATTTAGGGGTTTCAGAAAAAATGTCTTTAGAAAGTGTACAAGATCGGAAGTCTTTAGAAAGTGTACAAGATCGGAAGTTTCCTAAATCCCATAGAGGTTCAGCATAGTTATGGATGGTCTTAACAAACTGGTGACTGAATGATATGTTTATGACAACTACAACAGAATGTAGGATAACAATGTCACACTTTCGGTGGCAGGTTCAACAAAAATGAGGAAATCAATACAAGAGATAATAATGTTATTTTACCTTGGCAATATCTTCTTCCTCAGGTTCTAATGTCAAGGTTTCGATGAGCTGTTCAAGGTCATTCATACAACTAGCACTCTGATCATCTTCTGTATTATTAACCTGAAATAAAAATCTGAAAAGGGTTATGCAATATATGATGTGTTATCATAAAACCCCCTCACCTTTTTAACAGTGGTACATAGTGATAAGGTAGTTCCTCTGTTTGTCCCACTTTCTGTAACTGTTTCAGAAAGCATTAGAGTTATTATAGTTCAATTTGAATTGGAAAATTTGGGGACCAGGAAAAATCAGCACCAATCTGGTTCCTGTTAGAACAAACATGACAAATATTCTATACCCTTTATTCCGTAAGGAACAAATACTGTAACTTGAACTTCTATTCCATGGCACTCCTACCAGTGAAGGCTTAGAAACAGTAGAAATGAAAACAATATGGAATTGATTTTAAATTAGAATTGAACATAAACATTTCTGATTTTGAAAATGTTAACAGATTTCAAGATAATATGTATTTCCTAATGAGTTTATTATAGTTTTTGTCTCTCAGTTAAAATGAAACTACAGTAAAAGTTGCAAATTGTGATCATATGATATATATTGATTATCAATTTGACCCTTCGGCAGATTACCTGTTACCATGGTAACAGCAAATTTTGATTTCCTGGGGGTTTTCAACTTGTCATAAATATGTTGTCAGGTAAAATTGTAGACTTTCCTACAAATATTTTTTTTAAATTTTTACAAATTTTACTGACAAACTTTCATTATTTTGAAAATCGTTTCTTAAACATGTTAAATATGAACGAAATTGACTAGTGCTGGCAAATGTGAATATGTATTGTACCAGAGGAACAGACGACTACTTCCTAAGATGACAAGGATGGAATTCCATTCCCAAATTTATCACCAGTTGATTGGAGATTTAAGAGTCGACAGGAATATTCCACGAGGGCCATGCAATGGAAGCTGCCGACTGATTGAAAGACACTTCATTGAAAATTTGCCAGGTAATTATGATCATACATAGTTTTTAGCAAAACCTAAAATAGATAAAAAAAAAAGTATTTATAGTCCCAAACTGGACAGTCCCTTATTTACAAAAATAAAATAAATGAACAGATGAGGTGAATACTAAAAAAAGATAATTATTCTAAAATGAAATAAAAACGACTTTATTTATGTACGGTGTCACAATAATTGTTAACTTCGAGCTGTTTACGAAAAAAATACTGGACCAAATTTTACAATTTTTTTTAAATCAAATTTATAGATAAACAAATGAACAAACATAATAACTTCATTTATTGTAGGAAAATCACGGCGCCCATGTCATGTGTGTTCTAGACAGACACTCGGTGGAAGGAACGAAGAGGTCACGAAAAAAATACTGGACCAAATTTTACAATTTTTTTAAAATCAAATTTATAGATAAACAAATGAAAAAAAATAATAACTTCATATATTGTAGGAAAATCACAAATTTAAAAAAAAAAATATTTATAGTCCCAAACTGGACAGTCCCTTATTTACAAAAATAAAATAAATGAACAGATGAGGTGAATACTAAAAAAAGATAATTATTCTAAAATGAAATAAAAACGACTTTATTTATGTACGGTGTCGCAATAATTGTTAATTTCGAGCTGTTTACGAAAAAAATACTGAACCAAATTTTACAATTTTTTTTAAATCAAATTTATAGATAAACAAATGAAAAAAAATAATAACTTCATTTATTGTAGGAAAATCACGGCGCCCATGTCATGTGTGTTCTAGACAGACACTCGGTGGAAGGAACAAAAAGAGGTCACGAGTCTGTACAAGGTGTCAGGAATGTAACGTGGGACTATGTCTGGGATATTGTTTCCGCATTTACCGTAAATGTCAAAATTTTGCAACCCATCGACGTGGCATTCATGAGGATTAAATAATAATTATGATAATAATTTGTTGTATTACTGTATCACATATTGATTGGTATTAACTTTCAACGTATATAAATAAATATTGTACCGTGCCATTCAATATGGCTAATGAGACACACATACAACTTACAATTTCTACATCCCCCCCCCCCCCCTTCCCCAATAAAACATAATCTGTATTTCTAAAACAAATAACTAAATCAACGAACAACAAGATAAGTGATATACATCTGTGAATTATTAAGGAGGAAACATTTTTTCCTATATTTATCTGAAGAAGAAACTTATATTTCAAAAAGGGTAACGTTATAGCGACAGAAGTCTGATTACACAAGATAACGTAAAAATAAAAAGTACGCCATTTACTACAATATAGATATTATGACGTTCATTAATTCAATGACGTTACGCATTCAACGATTCTAGAGTATTTGAAAAAACAAAATTATAGAAGATGAAACATTTATCTAATACATTACATTGGTTTTTGAATTTTAAATAAAGAGAAAACTATGTAAAATAAAGTTTTAAATTTTGCCATTTTCCCGTATTTCCTGGCGTATCAAATGCAACAACGTAAAACAGGCGGCAGCAAGAGGGATAAGCAAGTCCCCTGATTGTTTGTTCACTGTTGTTTATATAGGTATCATGGCTACTTTTTGTTGAGAATATCTCTGTCTCATGCATCAGAATAAAAGAAAGTTTACAGATTGTACTTTTGTACTGTATATACGTCTTCAAACATATTTTAATACAAAAAATGGGATGTAGTCATGGTAGTGACAGTGGACAGTGATGACAGGAAACATTTTCAGTTGCATCCTATTTTTACATTTGTTGTAGATTTTAGAGCTGCATCGCCACCTCCTCCTGGTTTTGATAACGACTGTGTAGCCAGCAGGCCTCTGCCTCTTCCACGTCCCCGGCCTGTGCTTGTCATCATGTGGAATTTTAAAATATTTTTCAAAACATCAACATGTGTACAAACTAAAATACGAAACAAAGCTGGATTCTGTTTGGGACACGAACTTTATTCCGTAGGGGTGATGTATAAACAAATTCACGTTCCCATGGTATTGGGTTAGGGATTGTCCTTGAATATGGTGTGTGTGTATAAGTTTATAGTGACACATCTTCATTCATTCTGATAGAGATCTTGAGTCTACCCTCGCAGCTCTTGAGGTGGTGCTCCGAAAAAAACCGGAGGATTCTTCAAAGGTATCTATTTATTTCGTACCGTTACCATTTCGTACCCAATATTTTCAATTCCGTACCCACAGAGACATATATACTAAATGTATTATAGGTCTCTTTTATCCATGATTAAAACCATTTCGTACATAACCTATGGGCCAACTGCTATACGTGTCTACCATTTCGTACCTTTTAAACTAAATACATCTTTACTATTTCGTGTTATTAGAGACACATATAATTGTAATATTATATGTCTCTAGTATTACCTGAGACTACTATAATGTGTTATAGTAGTCTCAGGTATTACCAAGGATTTGTATAGTGTATCACTCCACACATTCTTGGTATTATCAGGAACATATATATTGACATACTGTTCCCAGGCATCATTATATATCATATTTCAAACTTAACATTTTTTAAATTCGAATTTTGAGTTGACATTTTTTAACTTCCAAGTCAAAATTATATAGAATTGAGAATGGAAATGGGGGAATGTGTCAAAGAGACAACAACCCGACCCAAGAGCAGAAAACAGCCAAAGGCCACAAATGGGTCTTCAACACAGAGCGAAAATCCCTCACCCGGAGGCGGGCTTCAGCTGGCCAATAAACAAAAAATTGTGTACTAGTTCAGTGAAAATGGACGTCACAATATATATATTTCTGAATCGATGAAATTTTGTACCAACATCGGTATTGGGAATTTTGTAAACACAAATTTATAATCATAAAAGGAAAGATCCTTTATATACTGCCCCATTAAAAGTTTTTAAAATGTCATATATTTAATGTAACATTATTCCATTAAACAAAGTAAAATATTTGGATGATTATAATTAGATAAAAACTATTATTACATAAGCGGCATGCATACATTTTTTATTATACATATTACATTATATATATATGTAAATTTGGTACTGGTATGAGTGATGTTTTAGAATTTATATGCATCCATTTTTTAAGTAAAAAAAAATAGAAAATCTGATTTTTTTGATATATTACAACGATGAATAGATAGTGTGTTATCATAAATTAAAAAAAAAAACATTGGCAGCAAGCTCTTGGAAGTATATAGACGTCCAAGCAACTAGTATATAAAAATGAGGAAAAGTGGTATGATTGCCAATGAGAACTATATATCCACCAGAGTTCAAATGAAGTGGTTGTAAGCAATTATAGGCAACTGTTACTTAGCTAAACAAAATAAAAATAAACAATCAACATTTTGTATAGAGAGGGGTGCTGGTCGCCTAAATCAAAAGATTTCTGCCAAATGGGCTAACATGATATGGCTCGACCAAGAGCAAAGGAAAGTTATGATTTTTTCGTAGTCGGATATTACGTTAAACTTATTGGAATGACAACTACGGACAATATCCATACTGACATTTCAAAAAAAGGTAGATAACTAATCATGGTAAAAACATTACAGTTCCAAACAATTCCAATGTGTAGATTTCCCCTTGAAGTAAGATGTGAGGAATATGTCACCGAGAAAGTGACAAAAAACCCTCCCCCAAAAAAGTAACTAAATGAAAAGGGGAAAAAATGTACGAATAAAGAGAACAACAACATATTATAAATGAAGGACAACTTTTTTGATACTAAATGTGTCTTCTTGTTGCTTCGTCACATCTTTTTCTGACCGCTCATCGCACCATGCAAATATAAAAAAGTCATATTTTCTCACCTAAACTTACTTCCGGTCAAACTTTAGAAATATACTTCCTTTCTAGTATTTGTCTTTATTATACTTATACCATTCGGTTTATCTTTTTCTCTACTCTAGCTGATTATTATATTTATATCATTCCGTTTATCTTTTTCTCTCCCCTAGCTGATTATTACATTTATACCATTCGGTTTATCTTTTTCTCTCCCCTAGCTGATTATTATATTTATACCATTCGGTTTATCTTTTTCTCTCCCCCAGCTGATTATTATACTTATACCATTCGGTTTATCTTTTTCTCTCCCCCAGCTGATTATTATACTTATACCATTCGGTTTATCTTTTTCTCTCCCCTAGCTGATTATTATACTTATACCATTCGGTTTATCTTTTTCTCTCCCCTAGCTGATTATTACATTTATACCATTCGGTTTATCTTTTTCTCTCCCCTAGCTGATTATTACATTTATACCATTCGGTTTATCTTTTTCTCTCCCCTAGCTGATTATTACATTTATACCATTCGGTTTATCTTTTTCTCTCCCCTAGCTGATTATTACATTTATACCATTCGGTTTATCTTTTTCTCTCCCCTAGCTGATTATTATATTTATACCATTCGGTTTATCTTTTTCTCTCCCCTAGCTGATTATTATATTTATACCATTCGGTTTATCTTTTTCTCTCCCCTAGCTGATTATTATATTTATACCATTCCGTTTATCTTTTTCTCTCCCCTAGCTGATTATTATACTTATACCATTCGGTTTATCTTTTTCTCTCCCCTAGCTGATTATTATATTTATACCATTCCGTTTATCTTTTTCTCTCCCCTAGCTGATTATTATATTTATACCATTCCGTTTATCTTTTTCTCTCCCCTAGCTGATTATTATATTTATACCATTCCGTTTATCTTTTTCTCTCCCCTAGCTGATTATTATATTTATACCATTCCGTTTATCTTTTTCTCTCCCCTAGCTGATTATTATACTTATACCATTCCGTTTATCTTTTTCTCTCCCCTAGCTGATTATTATATTTATACCATTCGGTTTATCTTTTTCTCTCCCCTAGTTCCCCTAGCTGATTATTACATTTATACCATTCGGTTTATCTTTTTCTCTCCCCTAGCTGATTATTATATTTATACCATTCGGTTTATCTTTTTCTCTCCCCTAGCTGATTATTATATTTATACCATTCCGTTTATCTTTTTCTCTCCCCTAGCTGATTGTTATATTTATACCATTCGGTATATCTTTTTCTCCCCCCTAGCTGATTATTATATTTATACCATTCGGTATATCTTTTTCTCTCCCCTAGCTGATTATTATATTTATACCATGCATTCGGTATATCTTTTTCTCTCCCCTAGCTGATTATTATATTTATACCATTCGGTTTATCTTTTTCTCTCCCCTAGCTGATTATTATACTTATACCATTCCGTTTATCTTTTTCGCTGATTATTATATTTATACCATTCCGTTTATCTTTTTCTCTCCCCTAGCTGATTATTATATTTATACCATTCCGTTTATCTTTTTCTCTCCCCTAGCTGATTATTATATTTATACCATTCGGTTTATCTTTTTCTCTCCCCTAGCTGATTATTATACTTATACCATTCGGTTTATCATTTTCTCTCCCCTATCTGATTATTATATTTATACCATTCGGTTTATCTTTTTCTCTCCCCTAGCTGATTATTATATTTATACCATTCCGTTTATCTTTTTCTCTCTCCTAGCTGATTCCAGCGCAGTATGACAATTTTTATCAATATTATATTTACCAATGCTTTTATCATGTCAACCTGGTTCTCTTCTCTAGCTGATTCCAGCGCAGTATGACAGTCTTTATCATAAATATTTTCAGTCTCTCTTTCTTCCAAAGACTCCAATTCTTCAATTCCCCCACCAATCGATTTCGCTGTATTACCCAGATCTGTAGGACTGACATTTTTGAAAGGACGTTTTTTAATCTCGCTCGTCTCGACAGAATGTTCATTAATATTTGATGATCTTACATTTTCTTGTTGTGCGGTAAGAGATTTCACATTTCCTTTATCTCTTCCATTCTCTGATACATGTATTAACTGCTCCCCATCAAGGACACACGGGAGTCTCTTTTCAACTTGTTTTGACAAAATACCTTGAAGAAACGAATTCAATTTATTCAATTTGCTTTGTTGGTCCGTTGACGCATTCCCTTTCTTAATGAAAATAGTACCCACAGATTCTTGTGTTCTGCCATTCGGTGAAACACGAGTATATTCTTCGTCCTCGCATTTCTTTGATTTAATATAGCGTTCTTCATCATATCCCTTCTGATGTAAATAGTTTTGATCTTTTCTTACTGAATGCATATATTCATTTTCATTAACTTGTTCATCTTTTTCCTCGCCATCGCAATCTCGAACATCATATATTTTCTGATGCTTACCCCGCTCGTAAGACTGTGTGCGCCTGTTATAATAAACCTGTTGGTTTCTCCTTGGACTCAGACTAGTTGACCGTTGCTCTTTCTTCATCGAAACAACGTTAGCATATGAACGTACTTTTCCTGACATTTCTTCATCTTCTTCCGAAGACACGTGTTTTGCCTGATGTAGTCGCTCCGCTGTTGAAGAGTGGGAATATGTCGACCCCTGCTCTCTATAAGCAGCCACTGGTAGAGGGCGCAGTGGTTTGTGCATTTGAGATTTTTTTATCTTATTTTCTTGTGATAATCTTGGAAATTCTTCAACGTATTCATCACTGATATTATAAACATCAAACTCATGGTCACTTTCTGTTTGAATTTCATCAAACCAGTCGTAGTTTCCATTGCAGCCTGGTATCCATTGCTTTCTTGGGCCGTCTTCATCCATGTTCTAATTGACTCTTGACATTATACTACAGGGAGAAAAAAAAGAAACGTCCATGACAATCTAAAGTGTTAGAGCTTGTAAATAGTTTTGATCTTTTCTTTAGAGCTTATGTTGTATATTTAACTTATGCCGAATCAAAATAAATTTTTCTTATTCTTATCTTATAGCTCTCCCTGTAAGTAATCATGACAATCTGAAGTGTTAGATCTCTCCCTATAAGTAATCATGACAATCTGAAGTGTTAAAGCTCTCCCTGTAAGTAATCATGACAATCTGAAGTGTTAGAGCTCTCCCTGTAAGTAATCATGACAATCTGAAGTGTTAGAGCTCTCCCTGTAAGTAATCATGACAATCTGAAGTGTTAGATCTTTCCCTGTAAGTAATCATGACAATCTGAAGTGTTAGAGCTCTCCCTGTAAGTAATCATGACAATCTGAAGTGTTAGAGCTCTCCCTGTAAGTAATCATGACAATATGAAGTGTTAGATCTCTCCCTGTAAGTAATCATGACAATATGAAGTGTTAGAGCTCTCCCTGTAAGTAATCATGACCATCTGAAGTGTTAGATCTCTCCCTGTAAGTAATGATCACACTTTATACATGCGAGATCAATTGGTGCATCCGAAGCTCTTCTCTGGAATCAAATTCATAAGTTCCATTTGACATAATCATAGTAAATTTATAAGTAAGTAAGTACATTTTATTTAGAGTTGGCATGCATATATGTACAATTAATTAAACTCACGAGCTTAAGAAATCTATTACTACCGACAATAATACCCAAAATATCCTTTTAATCACAGCAAGGCGAAAGATAACAAAGGGATATTCAATTTCATAAGTCGAAAACAAACTTACTAACAATGCCATCAACTTTAAACGACGAAAAGACATATACCAGTACACAAAACACAGAAAACTAAAGACTGCGAGACACCAACCTCGCCGGGAGTGATCTCAGGTTCTCCGAATGGGTAAACGAGTTAACACACCTGTCTGTGATTACATGAACGACCAAACAAAGCTGTAATAATGTAACATTACCTGTATGTCTGCGATTACACGAACGACCAAACAGAGCTGTAATAATGTAACAACGCCCGTATGTCTGTGATTACACGAACGACCAAACAGAGCTGTAATAATGTAACAAATTAAAACCTGTTTGTCTGTGATTACATGAACTACCAAACAAAACTGTAATAATGTAACAAAACCTGTTTGTCTGTGATTACACAAACGAACAAACAGAGCTGTAATAATGATATAATATATGTATGTCTGTGATAACATGTACTTCAAAACAAAGCTGTATAATAATGTAACAATACCTGTATGTCTGTGATTACATGAACTACCAAGCAAAGCAGTAATAATGTAACAATGCCTGTAATACAATCGATCACTTACATTACGTTTGAATGTCTTTTCCTTCGCCAAGAAGTCATGTTGACGCCATAGTTACACAAAACGTCACAGAGAAATGTCAAATAATCTAGAATAACGTGACGGAATCAGTGAAGGTATTGATATAAATGTAGCACGGAACGTCGTTGGTCAGGTTGTCCCGCTACAAATATCTGAATTCATTATAAATTAGAAAAGTAACTAAATTATTCGAGTCAAACTAAAGAAATTTTGCGCTAGATCTTTACTTAGACTTATATCAAAGGGGATGGAACACTCTATTGTGTTTGAGGTAGAAATCTTTGATGTAGGCTCTGTAAATTGATTCTATGAAATATAAATAAATGACATAATTTTATTTACTATTTACGTGGATGAACCAGTGATTTGATTGACACATCACTAACTGATATCTATCTATATATGATAGATACATCGATCTGTCTTGGGTTTCAATGAATGCATACTAGTTCATTAAAAGTATTTAAAAAAAACTTATTCAACAGGAATATTATAAATGGTCAAAGCTTTTACTAAAAAGAGTTATTGTCAGGAGACCAGAACACGCCCCATTCGACAGTAAATCCTATGGTAAAGAGCAGCCATGTCCAGTCTAAACGGAATACTAGCAGTTCAACCCGACCACTTGTATGCTCTCCATACGGTAAGAAACCGTTCAAACAACATTTGTGGGGCTCTTATCCACATTATCTTTATTGTCCGACATCAGTCCGAATTACTCATCATTCTCCCCTTCAAACATTGCAGAATCCATGAAATAGTTGCCACTGGACGTTAAACAAGCAATCAGTCTATAATACATTTTGCTCAGTCTTTGCTTTTCTATGTCGTGTTTTGTGTACTGTTGTTTGTTTGTCTTTTGCTTTTTAATATTGGCGGTTGCACGTTTGAATAGATTACATACAACAGTCTCACTTTGAGTGCAGGTTTACACATCTTTTGTGATGCCCAAAGTGTGTAAAATTCCAAATGAGAAAAGAGTAAAATAAAAATTTAACATTCACCATTAAGTCTGCACTGCTGAAATAACTGACTGATTGAACAGTTAATGCTCTACATACTGTCGATACATATATTTTGGACTTGCACAAGGGCAAGCTTTTCCCTGGCTGCTTATATAAAAGTAAGGAGATGAGGTATGATTGCCAATGAGACAACTATCCACCAAAGTTCAAATAAAGTGGATGTAAGCAATTATAGGCAACCGTACGACCTTCAACAATGAGAAAAACCCATACCGTATAATCGGCTATAAAAGGCCCCGACATGAAAAATATGAAACAATTCATATGGCGTCTTTTTACTTGGAAGATGATGATAGATTTAAGATGCGCATTGTCGACAACACGATTCCAATCATTATCCCATCAAAATGTATTACATGTACACGGAAAAAATTACACTCCTAATTTATAATCATTGACTTTGTGACAATTAAACTATAAAAGAATTTTTTTTTGAAATTAGCAATATAAAATGTAGAACTGATATGAAACATGAATATCGTTTGTTGTGGTATAAACATATATACTGATTAACCTCAGATAAATGACATTCGCTTTACATACATCAATAATGACAAGTTTGTACCTCTTGAAGATAGTCCTCTCTCTGTTTGATTTCACCACAGTATTTCACAGATGATATATAAAAAGAACGATTTATTAAAGTTTAGATGGAAGGAAATGTATTTAGTGCAAAAAAAGTAATAACAAAAAAAAAACGAATTCATTCCAAGGTTAATTAAAAAAGGGGGAAGTAACCTGACAAACTAAACTCTCGACTATACCAAAATAACGGAACGAATGGAATACACATTCCCGATAAATATACAAACACGCATGTGGATCTGTACCTGTAAAATGTAATGATACTGGAAAGGGAAGTAAAGAACCAATGTCTGAATTGGGTTTAAAGTAAACAATTAAAAATAAGATTATTCTGCTTTCAAAATACTATATTTACCGAACAAAATTACAAGAAGTTTTGCCAAATTTAAATGCTTTAAAAAAACTATTTAAAGGAACACTTGAACTTAGAAAAATACATTTCATTTAAAAACCTCTCTGTAGATGAATATAACAAATACTGGAGTCCCTGGGCCCCTATTATAGAATAAATAATAAATGTCAAATTTTGATTGAAACACCACTAATAGATATTGCAAGAACAAATAAAACTCCAATGTTATAAGAAAATTATTTATTTTCAACCTATTGTTGCACCATCATATATTCAATTGTTGTTTAATTATTTAATACTTCCTTTGTGTGAATATGCCATTCTGTATACCTTTGTTCATACATGTTGTGCTAGTCTATTTGTTACAGTAAAGAAAATTCATTATAAAAAAAAATAAAGTAAACAGTTATATATTAAGATGTCCCTTTGGTATCTTTCGTCTCTCTTTTATATATTATTCTTCCTTAAATGTAAAAAGAAGACGGCCATTCCCTGATGTAAAAAGAAGACGGCCATTCCCTGATATAAAAAGAAGACGGCAATTCCCTGATGTAAAAAGAAGACGGCCATTCCCTGATATACGTGCAATATTCACAGATAACAACGGAATGTTCCAATTGTCGTAACTACAATCCCGTCCCCGTTCCCCCGAATGTGACCTACCGAATTACACTTATGACCGGGTTTGTACTAACATGAGCAACACGACAGGTGCCACATGTAGAGCAGGATCTGCTTACTCACTCCACCCCACCCCCCCCCCCCCCACCCATTTCCCCCGGAGCACATGAGGTCACCCAAAGTTTTTGATGAGGTTCGTATTGCTCAGTCTTTAGTTTTCTATGTTGTGTTTTGTATACTGTTGTTTGTTGTCTTTTTCTTTTTATCCATGGCATGGTCAGTTTATTTTCTTTTTATCCATGGCATTGTCAGTTTATTTTCTTTTTATCCATGGCATTGTCATTTGTTTTCTTTTTATCCATGGCATTGTCAGTTTATTTTCTTTTTAGCCATGGCATTGTCAGTTTATTTTCTTTTTATCTATGGCATTGTCAGTTTATTTTCTTTTTTTGCCATGGCATTGTCAGTTTATTTTCTTTTTAGCCATGGCATTTTCAGTTTATTTTCTTTTTAGCCATGGCATTGTCAGTTTATTTTCCACTTGTGAGTTTGATTGTCCCTTTGGTATCCTTCGCCTCTCCTTTACACAAGCGATTAGAGCTCTCTTGATTTTTATAGAACTTTATGTTCGCATGTAAAATGTCTATTATAAAGACAAAAACAGTTACGAATCATCAATCAGTTAAAGAATACACAAAACTAATTTTTAGAGGCTACATCATAATAATCTTGTCTCGAAAATATCTTCAGTCAAACACGCTGTGGTTTTCTGATTCTCTTCGATCTCAATGGATGAACTAGACGCATCAGGTTGGACAACTGTTTTGTAATTAAAAAGTCTTTTATCACACAAACATGTCGCTAGCAACTTGAAACACAGACACATCGTCATCCAATTCGTCACGGTGGCTGTTAAAATTATATTATGTCGATTTCATTCTTTCCTCCTGACCACTCTGTTGGGACAGTTCTTTTAGTTATTGGCATACACACGATTTGTTAAATCAAACCGACAGTAGTTAACCGATTTTCAAATCTCGTAGATCGACTATAAGAAGAGACAAAGCAAGGTGACAAATCTCGTAGATCGACTATAGGAAGAGACAAAGCAAGATAATAAATCTCGTAGATCGACTATAAGACGAGACAAAGCAAGGTAACAAATCTCGTAGATCGACTATAAGAAGAGACAAAGCAAGGTAACAAATCTCGTAGATCGACTATAAGAAGAGACAAAGCAAGGTAACAAATCTCGTAGATCGACTATAAGAAGAGACAAAGCAAGGTAACAAATCTCGTAGATCGACTATAAGAAGAGACAGCAAGGTAACAAATCTCGTAGATCGACTATAAGAAGAGACAAAGCAAGGTAACAAACACAAACTAATGGAATCTCATAAACACAAGAAGTGGATGCATCGACAGGATAAGCGTCTCCGGCTATGCTTCTATCGTTAAATCGATAGGATAAGTGTCTCCGGCTATGCTTCTATCGTTAGATCGTTAGGATAAGCGTCTCCGACTATGCTTCTATCGTTAGATCGATAGGATAAGCGTCTCCGGCTATGCTTCTATCGTTAGATCGATAGGATAAGCGTCCCCGGCTATGCTTCTATCGTAAGATCGTTAGGATAAGCGCCCCCGGCTATGCTTCTATCGTTAGATCGATAGGATAAGCGTCTCCGACTATGTTTCTATCGTTAGATCGATAGGATAGGCGTCCCCGGCTATGCTTCCATCGTTAGATCGATAGGATAATTCCTGCGGCTATGTTTCTATCGTTAGATCGATAGAATAAGCGTCTCCGGCTATGCTTCTATCGTTAGATCGATAGGATAAGCGTCTCCGGCTATGCTTCTATCGTTAGATCGATAGGATAAGCGTCTCCGGGCTATGCTTCCATCGTTAGATCGATAGGATAAGCGTCTCCGGCTATGTTGCTATCGTTAGATCGATAGGATAAGCGTCTCCGGTTAACGATTACGATTTTCTTTTGTATTGGTTTTATTTCTTGATTCAGAACTTTTAGAGTTATTGAAAACATGACTCATTATAATTTTTAAAAACCTGATCAAATTTAATATAGTAGTCCAAATTTTTATTTCAGGATACAATCTATTTACCTTTTGTGAACTTAAAAATGCCTCTATCTCAACCCTGTTTCTGAAGCTCACCCAATTTATTCTTGAGAATACTCTATGACTATAAACGTTTGTTGTTTATTTTTTTCAAACTTTTGCCAGAAACAATTTACTTAGTATTGGTTAGATTTTTTTTTCGAATATTCGTATAAAAAACGAGGGTGTGGATTGGGTTTACAGAATAGAGAATAATGGGTAAAAAGTAGTGTAGAATGACTGGCTGAAATCATAAAGAATAGAGAATAATGGGCAAAAAGTAGTGTAGAATGACTGGCTGAAATCAAAGAATAGAGAATAATGGGCAAAAAGTAGTGTAGAATGACTGGCTGAAATCTTAAAGAATAGAGAATAATGGGCAAAAAGTAGTGTAGAATGACTGGCTGAAATCATAAAGAATAGGGAATAATGGGCAAAAAGTAGTGTAGAATGACTGGCTGAAATCATAAAGAATAGAGAATAATGGGCAAAAAGTAGTGTAGAATGACTGGCTGAAATCATAAAGAATAGAGAATTATGGGCAAAAAGTAGTGTAGAATGACTGGCTGAAATCATAAAGAATAGAGAATTATGGGCAAAAAGTAGTGTAGAATGACTGGCTGAAATCATAAAGAATAGAGAATTATGGGCAAAAAGTAGTGTAGAATGACTGGCTGAAATCAAAAAGAATAGAGAATAATGGGCAAAAAGTAGTGTAGAATGACTGGCTGAAATCAAAGAATAGAGAAAAATAGTTAAAAAAAAATAAATAGACAAAAATAGACAAAAAATAAGAAAAGAATAGAGAACAATTGATGAAACAATAAGAATAGAAGATAATGAACAAAATAAACAAGGAATATAGAAAAATGGTCTAAAAATTAATGAATAGAGAAATCGAGGACCCTCATAAACGCTGGGAAATCGTTTAGAATAGAAATGTATACGTTATCAATATCTTTGAATATCTTGGAACATTGATATTCTATATTCAATGAAAAACGGCAGGACATTATCAATATCGTGGTTAGTTAAACTTAGAAATATCCGATATTTAGAATAGCCTGAATAAGACACATAACTATAAATATATAATTTCTTTTTTAATTAAAATCTATAAAAAGGGAATGCGACAAGGATATTCATATTTGTTTATTATTTACATATAGCAGAATGCTATATCTATTAATGGTATTTGTAATAACACTTGATATACATCATATTTATGACTTTTTTATTGTCATTTTATTATCTCCCTAATAATAAATAATCACACATCGCCACCACGGAAAGTATTGTTAATCATGTTGTACGTCAATATAAATCCTATTGCTTGTCCTTAATTAACTTCACATAGATGTTGAATGGATAATTTCTTTATAAATAAAAAGGATAAATGTACTTACAATACAGGTAAATTATTATCATTTCTTTCACTTGTACATATACAATATAAGGTCAATGTCAGAAAAATATAATCTTTTTTGTATGAGGCTGAGAAACTGGGGAAGGACGAGGTTTTACCGAGCCGTTTCCCAGTTTTGTGCAGAAAACAAACACAATTTTTTTTCTTCTAAAATTGACCTAATATTGTTTTTATACTGCAACTTGAATTAATACATTGACAGCTATTTAGATTGCAACACAAATTTCAAACTTATTTTCATCCCTTAATGAACCCTTGGTTTTGGAAAAAGTGATCCATGATGAAATAGACATTGCACAAAATATAGCTGTATTACTATATTTAGGAAATAAACACAACTAGTTGCAGTATAATGCATTTTATGGGGACACAATTTTACCATTTTGGTTATATGCGAAACGTTGTTGAATAATATGGGCACCTATGTTCATTTGTTTTGTCTAAATGGTTCAAGTACCAAATTTATGTCGACATATATATTAAAGCATCATAGGCGGATCCAGGGGGCCCCCCTTTTGTGGGAAGAATTTGGTTGATTATATAGGGAATCACTGATGCATGACTGGAGCCCCCCCCCCCTTTTTAGGTCATTCAGCGCCCCCCCCTTATGAACAGTTCTGGATCCGCCACTGAGCATCTTACATAATGACTTGTTTTCTATGAATTGAAAAACAAAGTCGTTTACTAACTGAATAAAACAATTTATCTGGTAATTTGAATTTGGCTCATATACAAAGGACAAGTTACTATGATTAGTTGATAGAATGGTGAAACATATATATATTCGATAAGATTAATTGATAAATAAGATTTAAAAATGTTCCCCTTTTCCTTAAACAATCATAAGATAATCGAAAAGTAAATCAGTATAGACAGAATAATAATTTTGATCGAGCCTCTTTCATTTATGAATCATGTATACCAACTGTGTCTGACAATCGGGAATAAAAAAACAACTATCAATTTAACAGAGAATTGGTGTTCTTTTCTTTTGATTATACATATTTTTAATTGTATTTTATAATTCGCTAGTATTTTTCTTACAGAGTTCCTTAACTTTTTTTGTAAATAAATGTCACGTGATAAATGTCAACTGTTTTAAATTAAAATTTTGAGTTTTATCACCCATCTATTTTATTTTTTGACAGATGACATTGTAATTATATGGAACAAAATTGATTGGCCTTTTTCGTTTTTTCTCATTCTTGGTAAGGTAACGATGACAGTCACTTGGTCTGGTTTAATTGTAATTATTTGGATTCAGAGGACGTATCAGCATGGATATCTTGCAGATCCCCCGCAGAGATCTTCTATTTGGCGGGAAAATCCAGACGCTCCTATTAATTACAATGACAATCAGCTGTACTGTGGAGGAAGGGAGGTGAGTGTTTTTTTTATATATAGTACCCCACAAAAGAGGGTCTAGATGGGGGTTCCTCATTTCTAGGAGGGGGTAGGGGGTAGGATGAAAAATTTTGTCCTGCCTATTTATTTTCCCCTCTTTTCGGTCCTGCTTTTTTATTTTTCACTCTATTCGGTCCTGCCTTTTTTTTTTAGTTTTTCCTGACTTTTTTTTTACATAAATTATCATCCTGTCTTTTTTTTTTGCAAATAATCTCATCCTGCCTTTTTTTTTACTCAAAAATCATGTCCTGCCTATTTTTTTCAAATTTCATCATAGAGATTTGAACGTGGGTTTAACCGATGGCGCGGGAAATGCTACCATTATGGTTAGTTCAGTATTCGATTTACAAACTTAGAACATCTTTTAAATGCTTTCGCCTTAATTCTTCAATCTTGAGTTTTTGTTTGTCAATTGTTCGTCTTACTAGGTTTCTGCTACCAAAGTATTTTCCGGCGTACTTTTAGTTTAGTTTTGTTTGTCTCCCTCGTGTCTTTTTTATTTTGTATGTTCTTATCGTAATATATAGCCGTGCAAATACTTGTTCCAATTGCGTTTTTCTTCAAAAATATAAGTTAACACTAATTCGTGCACGTCTTTGTTTCTCCCGTTATCATCTTAATTACGTGTTATTGTGGTCTTTTTATTTGTCTTTGTACATTTTTAACCTTTACTGTTCAGTCCATGTTTGGTATATACTTTTGGCGTGGCTCGGTATTTATACATCCCGCCATTGGGTATAGTGCTATGGTCAATTTTCTATTCTTGTCTTTCATTTTTGCTTATGTACTTTGTCTGCAGAGCGTCTATATGCCTATTAGTTTTTCTTTGTTGAAATAGTTATTTGTTTTTATAGTGATTAAGGTTATAACACAATGTTGACTGCTGTACCCCTATTTTTGATATTTTTACCTATTATGTCTGTTTGTTTTGTTCACACATTGTTGTCAATATAATGGAATTCTATGCAACTGTCATACAAGTGAGAGGTTTAGCTAGCTATTAAACCAGGTTAAATCCACCATTTATTACATAAGGAAATGCCTGTTCCAAGGCAGGAATATGACAGTTGTTTTCCATTCGTTTGATGTGTTTGAACTTTTGATTTTGCCATTTGATAAGTTCGATATTTTTGTTATTTTATTTTTTGCCATGACACAAAATCAGAACATGCACAGCAAAAAAAAAACAAAACAAAAAACAAAAAAACACACAAACACAAAGAAAAAGAACAACACTTTAATTGCTGGTCTTTATTTGCAAAGTCATAGTGAAGCCTTCAACACGGAGTAAAAAAAAACCCTCTCACCTCACTGCAAGTTTACGAGGGCCTCTAGTACGGGTCTGAGCGGAATTTTTTTCAAAAATAATTTGGATAGACTTTGTAAGACGTAACACCACCAAATCGGGCTGGGTCAAAAAAAGAACCTACTGGAAAGTAGTACATATTTAAATCAAAATAGTTCCTACGCATAGGTGTAAATATAAAACTGGAGAATATATTTCAGTAATTAAGGCATTAAAAGAAAGTTCAAGGACTGGTGATCCTTGTAGAACACATATTGACTGATAGTTTTTAATAATACAAAAATGCATGAACGCATTCTAAAATTGATGGCATATATTGCCTGTTTCTCAGATATAATTTTTTATATAGATATAAGAAGATGTGGTATGAGTGCCAATGAGACAACTCTCCATCCAAGTCACAATAGAAATAAGAAGATGTGGTATGAGTGCCAATGAGACAACTCTCCATCCAAGTCAAAATTTATAAAAGTAAACCATTATAGGTCAAAGTACGGTCTTCAACACGGAGCCTTGTTTCACACCGAACAGCAAGCTATAAAGGGCCCCAAAAATTACTAGTGTAAAACCATTCAAATGGGAAAACCAACGGTCTAATCTATATAAAAAACGAGAAACGAGAAACACTTATAAACCACATCAACAAACGACAACAACTGAACATCAGATTCCTGACGTAGGACAGGTGCAAAAAATTGCAGTTTTAGTTCTCTATTGGTCATCTATGTTCTTTAGTAATTATAATGTCTTTGCTAATTAAAATTTTGGTTTAAAGAATTCCTTACTGGCCGAAGAACACAGTTATTGCGTAATGCATTGCTTTTAGAAAATAAATACAAATTAAAAACAAAAATAAGCCTGCTCTTTTACAGTGCAGTGTACAGGTATTGGAGCAAATTATATGAAAATTATAGAAAATTTACCAGCTCTAACATAAAATATTGACATATCTAATGTAAATAGGTCTATAATTCAGTTTGACAGCTTCAGACATACTAATTTTGACCTTTTTTTTTAACTGTACCAAATCACTACTTTACCAGAAAATTCATGACTCAAATAATTTCATTTCCATACTATAAATAAAATATATAAAAAATAAATTTGGAAAAGAGGGACGAAAGATACCAGAGGGACAGTCAAACTCATAGATCGAAAACAAACTGACAACGCCATGGCCAAAAATAAAAAGACAAACAGACAAATAATAGTACAGATGACACAACATAGAAAACCAAAGACTAAGCAACACGAACCCCACCAAAAACTGGGGGTGATCTCAGGTGCTCCGGAAGGGTAAGGAAGGTGTATGAAAAGAACTGCAAGTATTTCACTGTTCACACTTTGGACTTTATTTGTAGGCAATGAAAATCAAAGGGGGATAACTGTGGCCCAGGCCGGACCTTATAACTGGGAAACCCGAAACAACCAGTCGTTTTCCCCGTTCACCACCAATCGTTAGCCATTAGATTTAAAGTAATGGCTATTTAGATAATAAAATAAAATGTATCCTTGTAACTTAAACTTATACTGGTAGAAATTGGCATTTATAATTTTGATATTAAGAATTTCCAGCGATACTTTTGTAAGAGAAAACTCCATTCTAATTATAATAATTTGAAAACAACAGAGAATCTTAAAATTATTCATATCTTTCTTTATCTTATCTAGTTAATTGTCACAGTTATATGATAAATTAATGAATTAATATGTCATATTATATAAACCAACAAGATAGATGCGCATCATATTTCATAAATGAAAAAAAATCATCTTTCTAAAAGAGAGGCAAAAAATATCAAAGACCAAAGTAATATTCAAAATCATAAGTCGAAAATAAACTGACAATGCCACGAATAAAAAACGGAAAACGACTAGTAGAAAAAAATACAGTAAAAAAAACACAGCATAGAATATTAAAGATTGAGCAACACGAACCCACTACCGACCAAAAGTAAATTTTACTAATGTTTAAGTGGAAAAGAACCATTCCCCCACATATAAAATTGAGAATGGAAATGGGGAATGTGTCAAAGAGACAACAACCCGACCATAGAACAGACAACAGCAGAAGGTCACCAACAGTTCCCGCACCCGGAGTTTTCGTTGAATTTCCCGCACCGGCGTTTTCGTTGAATTTCTTTTTTTGCCATATCGTTATCAATTTGTTTTCTGAGTTTGAATGTCTCTGTAGCATCTTTTTTATTGTTTTTTTTTAATTCCCCCGCCGTAGCGGAGGGGGCATTAAGTTTTACCCTTGTCCGTCACGTCCGTCCCGTCCGTCGCGTAAGTCCCCAAAATTGGTGACCGTTCTCTTACTTTAGTTTGCCTCAACCAAATGGTATGAAACTTATACACAGCGCCTCTCTTATACACAATGCTTATTACCACAAAACACAGATCAAGTTCAAAATTGAGCTATGCCCCTTTATAAACATAAAAATTGCTGACTTTTCGTTTTTCGTTTCCGTTTTCTAACTTAAGTTTGCCACAACCAAATGTTATGAAGCTTATACACAATGCTTATTTCCACAAAACACAGATCAAGTTTGAAATTGGGTGGCGTTACTTTCACCGTTCTTGAGTCATGCCGCTTTATAAATGAAAAATCTGTCGTTTCCGTTCTCTAACTGTAGTTAGCCTCAACCAAATGTTATTGAACAATGAGAGCACTCAAACCTGCAAGCAATTTCTAATGACAACATGTAGAAATATATGTCAATAACTTTAAAGGAAAAGAAAATGTCAATAATTTTAATAGTAAATTGACTCATGCATATTTACAAGCGGGGGCATCTGTGGCCCATAGGCACATTCTCCATTTTATTTATTTTTCTGTTTACTATTTTGGTCTTAGATCTTTAGATACATGAACAGTTGTTTGATCTTTGAGCTTATCGATTGTGACAATTTGGCTGAATAAGTTTTTTTCATTGCGGGTGATACACGCATATCAGGAGACGCCTAACCTGTCCACGCACCCAATCTCGCTCTTTTTGGCGTTTCCTGAGCGGTCGCTTCCTAATCGATTCGCGAGATTTGAACATCGGTAAAATACAGTCGCCTTATTTCAGTGCGACTTTTGTTTTGTTGTTAATTGTTTAATTATTGATCAATAGTGAATGTGTGCATATTTTATCGACTTCCGGTGTTTAATTGCAATCTGGGTATCCGCATTCCCTTTAACAGCAAGTATTCACCCGTACCGAAAAAATTCACAAACATAAATCAAATCAATAGTTAAGGAATATTTTGTCTTGCTTTCAACAGCAAAATCAGAAGCCAAACTGTATATAATCAGTTGATATTTACAGAAAAATTGATACCGTTTATGTTATTACTACCACTGGGTCGATGCCTCTGCTGGTGGACTGATAGTCCCCGATGGTATTACTAGCCCAGTAGCCAGTATTTCGGTACTGTCATGAAAATACGGATTTTGAGTTATTAAACTTTGCTGTTACAAAATGTTGGAAATTATTTAAAATTAAGGAATGTATCTCCCTCATGAAAAGGTTTGATTCCTTACCCTGCTTTGGCTTTACTTTTTTGTCCTTTTTCGTTTATAGCTCTTCATCTTTTTAATAAGCTTTGGATTTTCAAATATTTTTGCCTCGAGCACTACTGAAGAGACATTGATTGTCGAAATGCGCATCTGGTGCAGAAAAATT